AAGACCCAGCCTTCCACCCCCCACCTCCAGTTCCTATTCCTAAATCCCAAACTCCTCGGCCCTCCAGCTCAGGGCTCAGGTTGGCAGGACCTCGGCGTCCTGAACCTTCCTCCACTAGGTGATGCTGTGCCGCTTGCAATTATTAAAAACCGCCGATGAATTTCTCATACTTTTAACAAACGCGGTGTTGGAGAGAACGTCCTCGGAGCTTCACTCTGATATTCACGGCTCTTCCCCTGGTTTCACGCTCAGAGCCGAAAATATTTCCACTTGGCACCCAGTGATGCTCCACTGTGCCCTTTCTCTGCAAGCGGGAGGTCCAGGGCACGGCGCGACCCAGGAGGGATTAAAGTGTCACCCTCCCTCCGTCCCTCCCAGGGAGAAACAGCGACAGCATCTCCAGAACGTGGCCAGGATTTCCAGGGCGTAAATAAAGCCCGGACAGCCGCAGGCAGGGAGAGGGGCTGGAATAGCGGAGAGCAGGAGGGGGTGGCTGAACCCCAGGACCCCTCCCAGCAGTGCGACAAAGGGACACCTTGGGGTGTCTCCCTGCCCGGAGGGGCGAGGACAGAGGTTTGAAGCAGCTCCTTCCCAGAGCTGCTGCAGGAGCCCCAGCTGGCACTGCGGGGAGGTGGCACAGCCCGTCGGGGCCGAGAGATGTGACAGCAAAGCCCCTCGTCCCCCCTCCCCTCCTGCCCCCGCGCCTCCCTCTACACCCCCCCAGCCGTGACCCCCCGCTCCCTCCTCCCAGGTCGGTGTGAGCCGACCGGGAGCGGGGCTGGGAGCCAGGGGGGAGCCCTGGCAAGCCCAGCACAAGGACGCAAAGCTCCCAAAGTCCTCCCGAAGCGCCGGAGCCTCCCGTGCCCTCCGCGCCCCTGCCCGCGCCGGACTCACCCCGGGCGCCCGCAGCTGCACAGGTTGCCCATGTCGCTCCTTCCCCCATGGAGCTGGAGCGTTCTCTGGACAGGGAGAGCTTGTATTTCCTGGTTCCTGCTCGGCCCCTGGCTATTCCAAGGGAGTGTCTGGCAGTGTCGGGTTTCTCTCCATGGGCTGCACGGGGCTGTGCTGGCCCCGTGTGGCATCTACCGGGGGTGGCCCCCGGGGCCCGGATCGCCCCCTGCTCACCCGGGGAGGAGGGGGCAAGGTCGCGCGTGCCCCCAGGGCTTCACCCCCGGGGCTAAACCTCTGCTTTCTGGTTCTCGCAGTGGCCGTCCCGCCGCTGTCCCTCTCTGCCCCCGGCGCCATCCCGCTGATGCCAGCAGTGATGCAAAAGGGGACGGAGGAGGGACTTCAGATGTTCCCGAACAAAAGGAGAAGCCCCAGAGTGGGAGCCCTCAGTGCTGTTCCTGCTGCTCATCCCTGCAACGCGAGCAGGATGTCAGAAAAATGCGTGGCACGGGCTGGCATCACCTGGGAAAGAGGGAATCTGCTTGGGAAGGCCCAGCAAGAGGGGGCTGGCAGGTCTGCTCTCATTTCCTGACCTGCAACCCCAGGGACCCTGGTGGAAATCCACTCTTCTTACAGCTCCCTGGGTGAAAGTGTGCAGTGTTGTGCTTTTGAGCAGGGCAGAATCCCATGAGGCACCTCACGCCATTAAGGGCCTGCAGTACAGCTGTCAGGCTCACCCTCAGCACGGCAAACAGGAACCTGAACGTGTATTTTATCCCTCTACTCCTTTGAGAGCCCTTCAGACTCTGGCTGGTCATTCCTGGGCTAATCCTGGTACCCAGTCTCAGGCAGCACTAGGAGAAGTGATGCTCAATTCCAAAAGATACCATGTGAATGTCATTCTTGAGCAGAACCTGTGCCCCACAGCTGTGATTTGGCACAGACCCAGCTCTGAGTCCCTCATGGGGTGTCCTGACAAGGGGGTGAGTTTTAATTCACCCTTCTGGTGGGCTGTGTCAGGAACTGGCCCCAGTCCCCTCCTCCAGGTGTGCCCATGCTCTCAGCAAGGTTCACAGCATCATTTATCACCTGCCCAAGTGCAGAGCAAACCCTGTGCCTGTCCAGGAGTGGCAGGAGGAGAAGGATCATTCTTTGGAAGGGCCACAGGGCAGAGCTGCTCTCTGGGCTGAGTCCTGGATGAGCTGTGCTGTGACCTGCAGAGCCCAAGCCTTGCTCTGACACTGCTCCTCATCATGTGCCTGGAGAGATGGCACATCCCAGTCTGCACCACAGCACCCCAGGGAGAAGTTAGGACTTGTGCAGGCAGCTGGGATTCAGTCCTGATGCCAACAGGACCGTGTTCTCAGGGTCCTGCAAAGACCAGGTGGTCTCAGGAGCCTGTCCCTGCTTGGGAAGCTGCAGACTGTGTGTCTCTGGCTTTGCCACAGACACTGTTGTTTTAGTGAACCAGTGGCTGTTTTGATTTCTGGGATAACTTGGGCTTTGTTGCTTTGTGGGGAAGGAAGAAAAAAAAAGGGCTGGGAGCCTGTTCCCATCAGCCTCTTTCACAAATACTGGAGCTGCTGCTTTGAGCTCCACCAGAGAAACAGAAAGGCATCAAAAACATTGGCAGGGCCGGGGAGTGCTTGGCTGCCACTCTGCATTCCCTCCTCAGGCTGTGTCTGCAGGGATGAAAGAAAGCATGGCTTCCAGCAATCCTGCTGGGCAGAGCCAGCAGGCTGTGTGGAGCAGAGCCTGCCAGGGGGCAGAGGAACAGCCCTGGCTGACACCAGGCAGTGCCAGCCCCTCTCTCTGCAGCCCTGCCCAGGGCAGCTGTCTGGGTGACAGGCTGTCAGACTGGTACAGGGCGAGCCTGCAGGGGCCCAGCAGTGGAGAATGAACTCATGGCAGAGCAAGGACAGGGCGAGGAAAAGCTGGAGGGGGGAACAGAACTGTGTGGTGACTGCTAATGCTGGGCATTTCTATGGCAGTAGTGCCCGAGGGCACTCCCAGTGCAGCCCCAGCCCTGGCCAGCTCCTGTTCTCAGCCCCCAGTGCTCCAGCAACCTGCAGCCCTCGTGCTGCCCAGGCAGCATCTCATGCTCTGGCACGTGCCAAGTCTGCACTGGGTGTGGATGTGCCCTCCTTTGCCCAGCCTGAGGGTCATATGTTGGCCATCCTCCCTCTCCCCACTCCCGGGAGGGAAGTTTATCCCAGTGACAGGAAATGTGCAGTGAGAGAGGGGACCATCAGCCTTTCTTACCAGCACAGGAGATGCCAGGTCAGAGGCAAAGAAAAGCCTTTTGTAGCTGCTGCCCTGGAGTGTCTCTGAGTTTGAAGACACATTTTATGAGGGGGGACTAAGGAAATGATGGCCCTGCCTGAGCCCACACACAGACACAGGTCCCTGCCCTCCCCACAGGGATTTGGGCTCAGGAACTCAGCCCTCCTTGGACTGGGGGTTTGGGTGGGTGTTGGGTGACTGGGATGCAGCTGCTTCAGGTGACTGAAAGCCACCAGCCCAGAATTATCTCTGGAGTTATTATTAAGGACTTAGACAATGCCTGTTATATTTCTATTTTGACAGTGTCTCACTGGCAGCAGCTTGTCTGCTTCCAGTTCCCGAGTAAGGGCATCCCCCAGGGGTCCAGGCTGAGTGTGGTACCTGATCTGCACCAGGGCTGGAGGCTCAGCCACCCTCCCACTGGGTCCTGAGCCAGCAGACAGGGTTGCTCTTAATCTGCCTCTGATCCTCCCTGCTGCCAGGGGCCCTGAGGAGCAGAAAATAGCTGTGTGGTTCCAGCAGCAGAGGGGATGTGCTGCCTGGGGCAGAACGCTGAGCAGGGCATTGCTGGCCCCAGGTACCCATGGAGGCAGAGGGCAGAGTCCTGCAGGGCACACCCCAGAGGGGAGAGGGAGAAGTTATATCCCCCTGGGTGTCTGAGGGAGAGCTGCCCTGAGGCACGCCAGGGACCCCCATATTTAGGCACTGACACAGCATTTTGCCTGCTTTACTTGGCTCTGACGAGACAAGGGCTGCAGCTGGCACCTGCTGAGCCCTTGGGGCCGCCCGGGGCAGCAGCTGCCCCGACAGCAGCTCACACGATCCTGGCCCAGCATCACGAGGCCACGGGGACATTTCTCATGCAGCCAGTCAGTGACACCACAGCGCCTGCAAAGGGGCCAAAGCCACCCCCTCTGGGACTGCACAGAGGGTGCTGGGGGAATCTGAGCAGAGCCTTTCCCTGCAGCATTTTGGGGTTCACTCCCCTCCCAAGGGCTGAGAAGGTCGGTGTGTGAACGAGCCCGGTGCCCCATGAAGCAGAGGGCTGAGGCAAACAGAGACCATGGCATTAGTTTACCTGGGCTAATCCCACCTGCAGGTCTGGGGATGCACAGGGACCCTCCAGGAGCTCATCACTCTGTACCTTCTGTCCTTGAGGCCGCTCCACTGAGGGCTCCCTACAACAGACCCTGCAGCTGCCCCTGAGCCAGGAGGTGAATCACAGAGGTGCCCCTGGGTGCCCCACAGTCCCTTCATGTCACCACTGATGCCATTTCCACAGCTGAGGCACTGTCCATCCTTCCTGCTGCAGGCCAGAAGCAACAGGAACCCAAGGCAAGCAAGAGAAGACCAGAGGCAGGTTTATTCCTCCTCCCTCCTGAGAACTGCAGGCACTTTTACAGACCAACAAGCACCTCCCGTGTCCACAAAGCTCAGCCACCAGCTCAGAGGCAAGGCACTGGGATCATCTCTTCCCTCTTCCCTCCTGGGCTAGAGCACAGCAGCTGTTTCACAGTCCACTGTGGCACAGCCTCACAGTTTGGGGTAAGAGTGGCCCTGGTCTTTTGGGGTGAGAGAAGAGCACCCTGCCTGGTGCTCCATGAGCACTTGACCTAGGAGAAAACTCGCATTACACTCACACTAGCACTTCAGTTCCCCTCTGTTTTCAGCTCCAAGTCCCTTTTTTCCAGCCATCAGCCTTGGGAAGCAGCAGTCTGGCTGCCTCAGAGCCCTGCTAAACGCTGCTGGTGAGAAACACGAGTCTGTCACCGTGGATTCCCCATCCCTGTCCCCCCCACCTTCCCAGTGCAAGCCCACACCTGGGGCCTTTAGGACTTCTCCTTCTCTTTTTCTTCCTCGGGCTGCTCTTCTTTCCCCACTGGCTGCTCCTCCTGCATTATCTTCACCTCGTTGACTTTGGCCTTCAGCTCCTTGCCGGTGCGGGGAGCCACGATGCTCAGGATGCCATCGTGGGACAGGGTGGCCCTCACCAGCAAGGGGTCGACGTCCAGAGGGAGGATGTAGGTCCTGGTGAACTCCCTGGAGATGAAGCCGTGGCGATCAGCCTTCTGGGGGTGCTGGCCCACCACCTCCAGCAGGTTGTCCACGGTGCGGACGCTGAGCTCGTCCGGCAGGAACTGGCAGACGTCCAGGAACACCTGGAATTTGTGCTCGTTCAGGCAGATCTCGGAGGTGCCCCGGTCCAGCTGCTTGTTGATCCGAGGCCTGATGTAGTAGCCGTGGTACAGGGCAGGGGCTAAAATCTCAGATGGGGACACACCTGGAAAGGAGACTCGGTGAGGAGTGTGGGGTTCCCGAGGGAGGAGCTGGAGGAGGGTGCTTGGCAGCAGACAGGGAAGGGTGGCAGGAGGAGGCTGGCACCTGGCACCTTGGGTTTGCCACCACATCAGCACAATATGGGTGGAGCCTCTGGCAGTTCCTACCTTTGTGTCTCTCAAACACACACACAGAGCCTGCCAGCCACTGCCTCCCACCACACAGCCCAGGGCTGCCAGCGAGCCCAGGGCTGGCATCCAGCTTCACATGTCTGTTGGGTGGACTGGGAGGGACTGGGAGGTGCAGTGGGTGCTCTGCAGTGCAGAGCCCACAGCCAGGGATGGGCATGGAAAATGCTGATGGTGAAGAAACTGCCCTGAAGAACTAAAGGCCTTTTGTGTGCCATTGTCCGGGGGGCTTTCCTTGGAGCTTTTTGCCTTTTCACGCTGTTGTGCTGGAGCTGAATGGTTCTGCTGCTGCCCACATTCCTTCCCCTCCGCCAGCCACTGCCCAGCTTTGTGCTGAACACCCCAGCTCAGCTTTTCTCCACATCCCCTGGCTGAAAAAACTTCCCCCCCCCTCCCCTGAGCGTTTCGCTCCATGTTTTCACAGCATGAGCATGAATGCCAGAGCATGGGTGGCATGAGGGAGGGACAGGACAGACAGCAGTAGGCATGGATGGAGGAAGTGGACATGAAGAGAGAGACCCTGGCTATCCCCCTGGTTTGATCTGCGTTCTTACCCTCCGAATTCCTTGGCTCCAGCTCCCTTAGCCTGCTCTGGAGGTCAATCTGCCCAGGGGAGCTCCACCACAGCCTTCCTGCAGCAGGGCAGAGAGAGGTGCCAGGGGGGATCCCACCTCCTTCCTTACCTTCCCCAAAGTTCTGGTCGTAGATCTTGCTGGGGTTGGCGAACTCGTACTCGGAGCTCATGGGGTGGGCGTGGGGGACGGTCCGAGCGGCCATGGCGGGGCTGGGGACAGGGACCTGCCGAGCCCTCGCTGCCTCTGAGAGTGAAGGCTGCAGATTGCAAGGTTTTAATTGGGTGAATTCCAAAGGGAGGAGTGTGTGATAAAAAGATGGACCAAAATAGCCACGCGCACAGGGCCCAGGATGCCTCGCCAGGGTGACGGGAGAAGCTTCTCGCTGCATTCCAGCAGGGAGTGCAGGCACTGCCTGCAGTCACGGACACCTTGGGAACATCCCACACGTCCTCCCAGCCCCGGAGAGCCCCTTCTGGAGCAGGGGCTGCAGGAGGGGAATGGGCAGCTGGGAGGTACAAGGATGAGCTGAGGGAGGCTGAAGTGGGGAAAAGCAGGACAGAGCCCAGGCTGTGCTGCTGGTGGTGCTCCAAGGACAGTCAGCAGGTCCAGGGGGTCCCTGGCACTGGTATGGATGGTGCTGATGGTACTGATGGCCCTGAACCCCCCATGGGGACAGGGCAGTAGCTAATGCTGGCTGGTGCACGTTCAGGCTGTGCAATGAAGTCCCTGTCACACCCATGGCCCAGATCAGCCCCTCCCGTGCCCTGCACACGGAGCCTGATTTTTGGAGGGGCTGAGCTCCTTTGAGTGATGAAGTGCTGCAGGTAGTTAAGCTGGACTAGACAGGATCCAGACCCCACTACTGACACCTCCCCACCCTGGACTGTCTGCTCCAAGCTGGCTGTCCAGGCTGTTCCCTTGGCCAGGGCTTTGGCATACTGAGACCCGGAGAAATCCCTGTGCCAGGGATCAAGAGTTAACCAAGGGGTGAAGCTGGCACAGACCCAGTCCCATTGGACAGGGCTGGGGGCTGCTGGTGGTGCAGGAGGGGAGCAGAGCCCAGTTGAGCTCCACGTACCCTGAAACCAGAGATTTCCCTGAGCCAGTGTCCCTGCAGTGTGAGGGAGCAGGTGCAGTGCTGTTGATGTAATGGGGAACTGGAGAGGGTATTTATGGCCTGAGCTGCTGCACAGAGCAAATTCTGCTCCCTATTCTTGCAGGCAAGCTGAGAGGAAGAGGCTCAGAGCCTTTTGCAAAGGGCTGGCAGTGCTGGCAGTAAGAATGATGTGCCCCTGAGCCAGAAATTGCGTTTAAGTTATGAGCTCTCGGAGGCAGAGACAAGTTCTTGCCCTTTAAGTACAGTTGCCAGGCTGAACCCATTCCTGTGACTGAGGCTCACAGGCGAGGCAGGAATTAAAATAAATGTGTGAGTTAAGATGTATTAGGAGCACAACTATAGAAAATGAGCTTAGTGCAGGGGCACAGGCAGACAGAGGTGGCTCGAATCCCTGAGAAGGTACCGTGAGCATGCCCAGGTTTTCTCTGTTCTGGCCCTCTGGGGCTCTGAGGTCACAGTGTTGGGCTCTCCAGTGGTTTCTCTGATGGGCTGAAGACCAGAGGTGTTGGGCTGAACGGTGGAGAAATCCACCTTCCATTCCCACACACCACTGGGCACAAAGGCAGCTGTGGGGCTTTCCTGGGCTGCAGTGCCAGGGGCATCCCAGCAAAGACCTGCTGGGATCTTCCCTGCCCCCCGGCTCCGTGACTCCCTTCGCTGTGGGCAGGGGCAGAGCCCTCCCCAGGGCTGGTGGGTGATGTGGGGAGCTGAACTCTGGGCACTGGCAGCGGGAACAACGGCCCCTTGTCGCGTTCCCTGGGAGCCAAAGATAGGAGCTGCATTGATCCCGTTGGCATCCGAAGCAGCTGGGAACATCCGCCAAGCCCGCCTGGGACTCTGCAGATAAACAGCACGTGGGGAGCGGGGCGGGCCGGGCACTTTGGCTTCTTGCTGCCCCATTGGGCTCCTTTTCTTCTTCTCCCCTTCCCCCTCCTCCTCAGCAGCGCGTTCAAATCCCTCAGACAGCTACTGGGCACCGCCGAGGGGACCGGCCCAGGAGTGGGACAATAAAATCCCTGACACCACTGTTCAAGAGGCCTCGGGGGGGTGGAAGGCCAGGCCAGCTGCACGGGTATAAAGCTGTCCCAGGCTCCCAGCACGGCACTGCAGCACAGTTGTTTGCCAGGCTCCTCCAGCGCTCTCCAATGGATATCACCATTCATAACCCCCTGATCCGCAGACCCTTCTTTTCTTGGTTGGCACCGAGTCGTATCTTTGACCAGATTTTCGGGGAGCACCTGCAGGAGTCAGAGCTGCTCCCTGTTTCCCCCAGCTTCAGCCCCTTCCTGATGAGATCCCCCATCCTTCGGATGCCCAGTTGGCTAGAGACAGGACTCTCTGAGGTAATCTTTGCTTCTTCATGCTCTTTGTTACCGCTGTGTGCACATCCTGCTGGCTCTGGAGCTGGACACCCAGGAGAGCTGAGAGCTTGGAAGCTGCTTGGAGGTGGTTATTTAGGAGAAGGCTGGGGAAAAGGGTGCTGTGCTTGTGGCTCTTCGTTAGGCAAGAAGCTCTGCATGCTCTGCTCATCGTTTGGGGCTGAGAGCAAGTACTGCCATAGTGATGGGAAGAGAGGCAAACTGAGGTGGCTCTAAGAGCTGACAGAAGACAGGAGGAAGCCTGATTTCCCTAATTTCCCAGTCTGCTATGCCAAACTTCCAATCCCACTCCCACCTGAGAAGCAAACAGCACAGGGGCAGGGGCAGTGGGATGCTCATGTCAGGCTGCTGAGGAAAAAGGGGCCTATTTTAAAGAATCACTGCCGAGAAGAGCAGTGTTTTCAGTAAGATACAGGACCCAAAGGATCAAGGAGCAGGAGTCTACTTGCTTCAGGGGCTGAGCCAAGAGGCACTTGCCTGTTCTACGAGTCAATCTCTTATTTACAAGTAGCTTGTAGAGCTATTCTGAGCAGAAGGAGGGAGAGGAAAGTATTATTTTAATCTTTGCATAATGTTTGCCCTGATTTAGCGACCTGGGTCTGGCTGTGCACTGAAGCAGCCATAATCAGCACTACACCAACTCAAGGGGCAGTTTTAGCAGATTTTAACAAATTGAGAATCTCAGGTACCGCAGGGATGGGCATTAATGCAAGGCCAGCCAGGGACAAAGCCACTCAGATGAGAAACCCAGAACAAAGGTCAGTGCGTGTGTGGACACCAGCTGAGTGCTGACCTGCTGTGTTCTGAGAGCCTCTCGAAGCAGAAACCCTCACCTGCTCTTTCCTGAAGTCACCTCCTTGTTTTGCAGATGCGACTGGACAAGGACAAGTTTTATGTAAATCTCGATGTGAAGCATTTCTCCCCCGAGGAGCTCAAAGTGAAGGTGCTCGGGGACATGATAGAGATCCACGGGAAGCACGAGGAGCGCCAGGTACCTCTGGTTTAACTGTGCCACTCCCAGCGGGAGCTCCCTCACCTCCGCTGAAACAAGGAGGCTGCAAAACATTCCTCCTCTGGGCTCACCTCAGATACTTGGCATTGTTTGTTTTATCAGCCAACCCCAATGGAAGATGGTCTGTGCAACCCCCCCAGCTGATCCCAGACAGGGCAGCAAGAGGGTGAACATTTATTGCTGATGTTACATGAACTGTGAACCGAGCTGGAAAATCGTCTTTGAAATGGGCATTTTTGGGCCTCCCTCTTTTTGGGCAGAGGCCAGAAATGCAGGGAGGTGTTCAATACACTGACAACAAGCTGTAATAATCAAACCACAAAAGGAACCAGTGCACTGCCCTGTTGTGTAACCTTTCCTAGGCCCAGCTATGAGTTTCTAACCCTTAAAAGTTGTGTTCTGCTCTCATAATCCCACTTCTTGCTGGCCCTGGAGACCTGGGTGCCAGCTGGGCAGAGAGAAATCCAAAGCCATGTTCAAAGGTGGATGAAACAGCATTTTCCAGCCCCCATATCCCTCCTACCTCCTGTCCCCACTTACTTGCTGGAAGGAAGGGAGCACTCATGATAAAGTAGCTGCAATTGCCATATCAATATAATAATAATAATAATAATAATAATAATAATAATAATAATAATAGTAATAATAATAACAATAACGGCATGTAATCCTGACAGAGCTTCTGCAACTTTTTTTTGCTAAGAACATAATAAAAAAATAACAATAATACTCAAAATAATAATAATAAAAATAAAATATCTATATATAAAAATAAATCAAAATAATATCAAAATAATAATATAATAACAATAACAATATAATAACAATAATAATAGTAATAATAATCCTGTGATCCTAGTATAGTTTCTGCAATTCTTTTTGGCTAAGAACACAATCCAGTACTCTAACAGAGATCAGCTCTCTGGGGCTCTGCAGACCCTCAGGAGCTGGTGTGGTTGGCACTGCAGGCAGGCCTGGTGCTGCCCCTTGCCCAGAGCTGGGCAGTGAAGCCCAGAGGTGGAACACAAAGCCTCCTCCTGCCAGCAGTGTTTGCACCTGCAGGCACCTGCACCCAGCCAGGGCAGTGCCTCCCTTTGGCCAGACTTGGCTGTTTTTAAAGAGGGCATCTCATTTTAAAAGGTCCTTTAAGTCCCTGGGAGGTTTTCCTTTGCGGGCTCCCCGACCCCAGCTCTGCCTGTGCCGAGCGAACGCTCCTCACTGTGCCTGTCCCTTCTCCTCCCGAAGGACGAGCACGGCTTCATCGCCAGGGAGTTCAACAGGAAATACAGGATCCCCGACGACGTGGACCCTCTGACCATCACCTCGTCCCTGTCCCTGGACGGGGTGCTGACCGTCAGCGCTCCCAGGAAGGTGAGCGACGTCCCCGAGCGCTCCATCCCCATCACCCGCGAGGAGAAACCGGCCATCGCAGGCGCCCAGAGGAAATAGGGCTGTGCCCACACACAGCCCCCCCGGGGCCAGCCCACGGCACCTGGCACCAGGGGCCGAGGGGCTGCTCTTATTATTTATGCCGAGTAAGTTTACTAACGAATAAAACATGAATAAGCAGTTTGTATTTATTTGTTCTGGGCGCTGAGGACAAGCGGAGTGGTGGGGCCAGGGAGCTGTGTAAGGTGAACGTAGCTGGTACCATCCTTCCTTACAGCTTGGGTGGCAAGTGTGGCCAGGACAGCTTGTCTTGGTGTCCAGAGGCACCCTTCCCACTCCACATTACATTCTCTAATGTTTTGCAAACATCTAATGCACGAGTCTTTTCCTTCAGCGGTGCCAGAGGATTTCAGAGTGTTTCACAAGCCACAGAAAAGTTTCTCCAGTGGAGATTAAACTGGTAAAACAACTTCATGACAATTGAAACCCATCTGGAGTGTGGGTATTTGATAACAACTGACTGGAAGACAACTGTATCTTAAATCTCTAGAATGACTCACGTTGTGGAGAAGCATCCAAGTGCTGCAGCCAGTTCAGAGCAGTTGCAGATGAAAACTGCAGAGCTGCAGTTGAACACAGATATCTCCCAAGAGGAGGAAAACATCCTGCTCTCATGATGCAAATCACATCCCTTTGAAACTGTGATGTTAGTGCCCTTCAAACAATGAACAGCATCTGATGTCTACAGCAATAACCTGATTTATGCCATCATTGCTGAGTGATACAAACCACTACTAAGTCCTTCTCAGGCACCATCATCTGCTTAGCACCTCTCTTCAAAGGGATATGAGCATAAAGGGAAGTCTGTGTTACTGGAATTGAATTCTAAAATTCATCTTCAAAAAGGGCAGAACCCCACAGATCTGTCACACAGATCATCAGACTCAGTCATGACCTGACCTATTTTTTATGTTCCTTATACCTGCTAAGGCAGAAGTTCTGTGAGAAGGGATCTGTTTACACCTCAGCTGAACTGAGAGGTTACCCTTCATTCTGTGTCTTTAGGGGAGAAAAACAAAATGAGCACTCAGTGATGAGGGGTCATTGTCAAATACCTCAAATCCCCCCTCATTTCAAGGTCTGGTGTTTCCCATTAGCTGGTTCCAAAAAGCCCTCCCAGTTAAGGTGTTAATTGGGCTTGTCTGACCAGGCACAGGGTGAGTGGTGACTCACAGTCACCTCTGCACTCACTTAGGTCACAAACAATCCATATTAAACAGCAGGAAGAATGTTTTCCACACGATGCTACATTTGGCTTTCATGTGTGACGGGTCTTTTTGCTCGAAGGAAATCCCTGTAGCACTGTGGGCAGACAGGCCTCCTGGTTTCTGAGCCTTTTCCTGCATCCTTCTTGTTCCTTCTCTGAGTGTTGGACACAAGCAGAAAAAAAAAAATGCTTCCATGTGGTGGCCTGTAGTGAAGCAGGACTGAGCAGCTGGGTTGCACAAAGGAGGTTCTAACTCAGGGTAGGGGCCCAGAAACCAGTGAAGTTCTTGTTCAAATTCTAAAAGAATAAAAATTAAAAAAAAAAAAAAATTGAGGAAGTAAGTGGGAAATAGTGAGAATATATCCATAAAGTGCATTTCCCCTGAGGAAAATGGTTTTTATAGTCCAGGGTTTTGTTGGGCCCAAATGTAGGAGCAAGAAGTGGGCATTTTGAGTGAAAGCTCTTTGGGGATGATGAGGTCAGCTAGACAAGAATACTTGAAATGCAGATACCACTCCCTGAATGACCTGAAATACCTGTTCTGTGGTGGCACAGCAGCACAGCTCAGCGGGGAGAAAATGCCAGAAAACATCTCTGTCACCTCGAAGCACAGATGTCATCCAGGAGCTCCCCTTTAGCTGCACCACACATCCAACAGGCTGGTTCAACATTTCATCCTCTGATGTTTCCCTTGTAATCTGGAGTGCAAGGTGCTTCAAAGCAGTGAGGATGCTGGAAAGGAAAACTCGCATTTAGCACGGCTAAATATGAGTTTGGGGTTTTTTTCCTTTCCTGGAGGGGGGAGGTGGTGTGGTAATTATTTTTTTCTGAGGTGTTATGCTCCATGTCTCAGCACTGAACATCTCTCTGGGTCACTTACTCACCCTTTGAAACAAAGAAAGGGATTCACCCAAGGCCACAGGGACCCAGTGCCTCCCCAATATCCCGTCACTCACAGGGCAGGGTTAGGGGGGATACTGGGGAGAAATTTTTCCCTGTGAGGGTGGGGAGGCCCTGGCACAGGTTGCTCAGAGAAGCTGTGGCTGCCCCAGCCCTGGAAGCGTCCAAGGACAGATTGGAGCCATCCAGGGCAGTGGAAAGTGTCCCTGCCCATGGAACGAGATGAGTCCCTGCCCATGGAAAGTGTCCCTTTCCCATGGAAAATGTCCCTGCCCATGGAACAAGACGACCCAAACCACCCCAGGATTCTGTGATTCTACGATTCCTTAGCTTTGTAACGGCTTTATTTATTTATTTACGCACTTATTTATTTATTTAACGCCCATTTCCTGTTGCGCAGAGGCTCAGAAAGCTCTCCCAAAGCGCACCCCCCTCCTAGCGCTGGGGAGGCGGCGGGGGGGATGCGGCGGCTCATCCATCCCTCCATCCATCCCTCCATCCCGGGGAGCACCGGCAGCTCCCTGGATCCCCCCGGGGCGGGGAACCGGCTGCTCAAAAGGCACCGGGGATGCCCCGACGCCACCAGCAGTGGCCGCTGACCGGCCCCACGTCATGAGCGAGCGACTTCGGCTCCGGGAACCGCGGGCTCCCAGTCCCGGGGGCTCCGAGCGCCGGGGGCTCCGAGCCGCTGCCGGTGCCCGGGCATGGGGCTCCGCCGCGTCCTGCTGCTCGGGGAGGGCAATTTCTCCTTCGCCGCTTCTCTCTGCGGGGCCGAGGGCACGCACGTGGTGGCCACTTGCTACGAGAGCGAGGAGGAGGCGTCCCGGCGAGGGGGAGCCGCGCGGAGCATCCGCAGGCTGCGGGAGAGCGGTGGGTGCGGGTGGGATGCGGTGGGATGGGATGCGATGGGATGCGATGGGATGCGATGGGATGCGGTGGGATGCGGTGGGATGGGATGCGATGGGATGCGGTGGGATGGGATGCGATGGGATGCGATGGGATGCGATGGGATGCGGTGGGATGCGGTGGGATGCGGTGGGATGGGATGCGATGGGATGCGATGGGATGGGATGCGATGGGTGGTGGGACCCCCGGGCACAGCGGTGCAGGAGGAAGCGGTGTCGCTGAGCCCTTTGCTGTCACCGCCCTCTAATCAGGGCTCCATCCAGAGCCATCGCGCTGCCGTGCCCTGTCTCCAGACCCTTGGCATCCCCTCGCCACTCCAGGCGTCTCGTGTGAGGGATTGGAACGGTCCGTTTGGCCAAATCAAACACCCTAAAACCTGATCAGGCTTAAATAGTGCTGAAATTGCACTGAAACCACTATTTTCAAGTATTTTCAGAAGTTTCCACGAGAGGTGAAGTGGAGCCCAGGCTTCCTGGTGTTCCTAATGCACGACTGGGGAGATGCCTGGCAGCTCTCACCTACTTTAAAACCAAATAGAGGATTTGCATTCCTGCCTTTCTCTGAAATTTTCCCTAGTGATAAACATCACACCCTTGTTTTTTTTTTTTCCTTTGCTGTTGCAGGAGCTGAGGTTGTGTTTTCTGTGGACTGCACCAAGCTGAAGGACTACTTTTCACCAGAAAAAAGACAATTCGACTGTATTTACTTCAACTTCCCCCACTGTGGGAGGAAGGCTGGGGTAGTGAAGAACAGGGAGCTTCTTGCCCACTTTTTCCGTAGGTGAGTAACCCAGAAATAGTTCTGTGCTGGTTGCCTGCTGTGATACACGTTTGTAGCTGTGCTCTGGGTGCTTTTCTGGCCCTGTGAAATTTGTGGGGGTGCTAACAGGGTTCTTCTCGTTGGTGCCTTTCCTTCCAGCTCCGCAGAAGTGCTGGCAGAGGAGGGAGAGGTCCACGTGGCTCTTTGCAATGGCCAGGGTGGGACACCCGCAGACCAGCCAAGGAGGGAGTGGCACAACAGCTGGCAAATAGTGGCTGTGGCAGCAGGAGCTGGATTTATCTTGAGTGATGTTCATCCTTTTAATGCAGAGACAATCCATGGATATAAATGTACAGGTTACAGGTAACCATCATGTGGCAAAACAGAAATTCTGATATTTGTGCTCTTATAAAGGCCAGCATTGGTGTGTTCTTTTAGTATCTTGTTTGCTGGAGAGGAACTCCTTTTAAATTTCCTTAAAATAGCTGCAGTTCTTTTCCATCTCTAAGCAGAATAGCCAAGATTCAAATGCAAGCTTCTTGCCAAAGTACCCTCTAAAAATAAGACTGTCTTAGGATTTTAAAGGTCAAAATCGTCAGGAGGACTGTGGTGTGTGTATCTGCTCAGCAGGCAATCCCAGCAGGGTTGTAACAAGGCCTGGGATTCGCTAAGACGTGTGTTGGTGTCACATGGATTACCTGTGCAAGGCTTTCTTGTGGCACGTTAAATATCAGAAATTATTGATGGCTTTGCTGTGGTTTTGTGTGTTGTCAGGAGCCAAGATAAATCCTTCTGTGTAGAGGGTGCCCTGAACCACATTTTCACACGGAGCACTCCACTCCCGTGTTTCACACCTGGGAGCTGCAGGATACAACTGGAAAGCCAAAAGGTTTCTTTTCAAGTGCCACAAGTCCTTGTGGATAAAATTAACAGGTGAGTTTTATAATTAGTTTCTGTTTGGCTCTCAGTGGGAGTGACCAGGTGTCAGATAAATGGATATGATGATTGGAAAGCCCTGTTCCTTTTTTATTAGCAAATTCAATTAATTCTTGATTGCAACCTGGAGACAAACACCAGTGTCCTGAAAACACGCAACACGTTTGGTGAGAGGCTTGGCTTGTTCAGGTAGTTACTAAAAACTGGCTTAAGAATGTTTTGGGTGAATTGCTGCACTCAAATTATGGCCACAGGAAGGCTATTCCAGGGAAATCTGTTTACTGGTGTCTGTAATCTGCACTTTTATTTTTCCCAGGGGTTTCCTAGAACCGAATTCAAACCACCCAGTCCGGACAGTGAAGGAGGAGCTTGCTGCAGGGCTCAGCCAAGCCTTTCCAGTACAGGACACTGACTCCTGCCTTCCCCTGCTCCACCAAGGCCACCTCGATGGGGTTTGTCCCTCCAGTATCTTTTGGCTCGCTCTGAGCCCAGAGGAGACTCCAAGCCCTGAGGAAATGTCTCATGGACCTGCAAATGGACCTGTTTTATTTTCCTGTGCTGATTTTTGCCAGGGCACAGAGAAGAATGTACCAGAAGGACGTCACAGTCCAAAGCAGTTTTATCTCAGACCGTCCCTGCTGCCTCATGCTCAGGCAATAATGCAGGAAGGAGCCTTTTTCCCAGGGACACTCCGTGTTCTTTCTGGGCCAGTTTTCAGGAAGTGTCGTGTCACTCCTCACTCCATGCCTGTTTTTCACGAGGTGCTCATTGTGTTTGCAGTGAGCAGGGGTACAGAGAGCAGCTGTGTCCAGATGTTGGTGAACAACGTTACATCCACCATACATTCCCTTCAGCAGACTGGCACTAAACCAAATATCAACCTGCAGGAAGCAACGAGCTCTGAAACAACTGAGCGAAGTGACTTTGCTGCTTTTGAGTCTCAGCTTGGTAAAATCCAGTACTTCATGTGCATGGAGACAGATCCCCCAGGCTCCTGTGAGAAGGGCTCCTGCCTGGGGGTTATAAGGACATCTCATGAGCTAGTAAGCAGTGAGCTGGTGGTTGTCTTTGCCTCACTGAACCTTGACCTCCTGGCCATGCTGCTCTGTGGAATATCCGACTGGAGAATGCTCTGGACACCGGACACACGGTTCCTGAGGCAGTTTCCTAGAGGAGAGCTGAGGCTTTTCAAGAGTTTTTCCCTCTATCCCCCTTCCTACGTGCACGACGTCAGCTTTTGGGTTCCCGAGGGGGAGCAGTTCGACGAAGTTGCTTTTCACACCCTTGCCAGGGGGGTGTCAGGTGAAACGGTGGTTTCCATCCAGTTAAGGGACAGTTTCCAGCAGGCAGGAACGGGGCGGAGGAGCCTCTGCTACAGGCTGACCTTCCAGTCCTGTGACAGGGCCCTGAGCTGCCGCGGGGCCGCGGAGCTGCAGCTGCGCCTTCGGGAGCAAATCCAGCAGCAGCTGGGTGTGACCCTGAGGTAGAACGTTCCACCCTGGGCTCAGGTGCTCGAGCAGCACCTGTGCAGGTTTCTGCTCTGGCCAATGTCACCTGACACGGTGTGTTACTGCAGCGCCTCTCACAAAGGCGGGGTAGACTTTGAGTACCTGCACGTGTTGTAAATGTGGAAATTCCTGTTCAGGAGGACCAAGCACCTCCCTGTTCTCTGTGTGTGTAATGAAACCTCGTTTTATAAAGTGGAGCCTTTCTTTCCTAGGGTCCTGTGAGAGTGGACTCGATCTCCTTGCTGATGCCAATTCACTTTTCCTGTTCTTGTTTATGCTTGCCCAGCACCTTATACTGGTGGTGATTATCTCAAGCACACCGAAACAGGGAGGATCTCACCATTTCCTAGGCACTGCGTGTGTTCTGAGCACTGAAAACCCTGTGCAGATGCTCAGTCCTTGTGGGAGGATGGTGGGTCTGGGTTGCTTCACACAGCCCATCTCAGCAGAGGTGCTGGGGATGGGATCCCAGCCGGGGACCGTTTCCGGAGGAGCTAATACAGATGGAAATCACGGAATCCTAGAATGGTTTGGGTTGGAAGGGACTTTAAAGCTCATCTCCTTCCACCCCCTGCTATGGACAGGGACACCCTCCACTAGCCCAGGTTGCTCCAAGCCCCGTCCAACCTGGCCTTGGACGCTTCCAGGGATGGGGCAGCCACAGCTTCTCTGAGTGACTAATCACAAATTATTTCCATCACTATATTCCAAAGGGTCCTAACTAGTCCTAAAATAGCTGTACCACCAGTAGTGCATTATTTGCTGCAGCAGATGTGACTGCAGCTGATAGAGAACTCCAGAGTTACTGGAATCTGTAGGGTTACACTGGGAAAAGGCATCAACAGGATGGTGGACGTGAGCAGCTGTTTCTTTTAACAAATTCAGGACTGCAGGGCACATTCTGTGTCCCCTCAAGTGTGAGGCACGTGTACCCCTTGAGGGTCCATTCCCACATCCTGCTGCCCTCCTGGCACAGGACCAGGGGCCTGTGCCCTCCTGCAGCATCTGGTGGAGAAGAACAGAGCAGCATCCATGTGGAAGGATCCTGGTGACCAGTGCCAGGACCTCAGGGAATGGCTGGAGCTGTGTCAGGGGAGGGTCAGGTGGGATCTCAGGAAACCAACCAGAGGGTGCTGGGGCACTGAACAGGCTCCCCAGGGTTTGGTCACGGCCCCAAGGCTGCCAGAGCTCCAGAAGTGTTTGGAAAACGCTCTCAGGGACAGGGTGGGATTGTTGGGGTGTCTGTGCAGGGCCAGGGGTTGGACTGGATGATCCTTGTGGGTCCCTCCCAACTCAGTGTATTCTGTGGATTTTACTGGTGAGTTCCCAGATGCATTTCCCTGGAATTCGTCCCTGACAGTGGGGTGATGGAAACGTTTGATGTGCTTGGTCTTCATGCCCTGAAATAGCAGAGACTGCGTGTATGATGAACCTGTGTGTGAGGAGCAGGGACTGTATGTGCGGGACACGGACCGTGTGTGTGGGGCATGGACCGTGTGTGTGGGGCATGGACCGTGTGTGCGGGACACGGACTGTGTGTGCGGGACAGACACCGTGTGTGCGGGGCAGACACCGCGTGTGCAGGACAGACAGACCATGTGTGCGGGACAGACACCGTGTGTGCAGGTCACAGACCATGTGTGCGGGACACGGACTGTGTGTGCGGGACAGACACCGTATATGTGGGACAGACACTGTGTATGCGGGACACGGATCCTGTGTGTGGGACAGACACCGTGTGTGCTGGTCACAGACCGTGTGTGCAGGGCACAGACTATGTGTGCGGGACAGACACCATGTGCGGGTCACAGACCGTGTGTGCGGGTCACAGACCGTGTGTGCAGGGCACAGACCGTATATGCGGAACAGACACCGTGTGTGCGGGACAGACACCGTGTGTGCGGGACAGACACCGTGTGTGCGGGTCACAGACCGTGTGTGCGGGACAGACACCGTGTGTGCGGGTCACAGACCGCGTGTGCGGGACAGACACCGCGTGTGCGGGACAGACACCGTGTGTGCGGGACAGACACCGCGTGTTCACGCCGCGCGCTCCCGCCGCCCCGCGCGCTCCCTTTGCCCACAGCCGAGATGGCGGCGGCGGCTTCCCCGCCCCGCCCGCCCGCGGCAGCGCCGCCCGCCCGCCCGGCCGTGCCCGTCCCCGCCATGGCCGCCAAGGGGGCTCGGCAGCGGCCGCGGGCGGGCGGCGGGGAGGCGGCGGGGCGGCGGCCGGAGGCGGAGGAGCCGCGGGCAGAGTGGGTGTCGGGGTGTCGGGGCAGTGCCCGGGCGCTGCCGGCCCCCGGGGGGGGTGTTTGGGCGGCCCCGCGCCCAGGGCGGTGTTGGAGATGCCCGTCCCGCATCTCCCCGGCCGGCAGGAGCCCCCCCGGTGCGGGGCTGCGGTGGGGCGGGGGGTGATGCTGCTGCCCGGGTACCCGACCCCCCCAAGGAAAGCAGCGCGCTCGCTGCTGGAATCCGCGGCTCAGATACCCTCCTCTGCCCTTTTAGTGTCGCTTGGTCTCGTCGCTGAGCCTTCCTGCTGCATATTCGTATTTTTTTTATTTTTTTTTTTTTTTTAATTTCCCCCCCCCCTCTTTGGATTAGATCATCCGGGAGCAAAGCAGGGCAAGTTTGGGCCCCCGAAGGATCAACAGCTTTCAAGTGTCTCATCTCGGCCAGGTTCTGTGCAGCCCTCCTGAGCAACATCTCTGATTGCGATGAGACCTTCAACTACTGGGAACCGGTGAGTGGCTTCGTGCCCTTGGGAGTTGGCAGCGTGTACCTGGCCAGTGCACATGCAGGTTTATTTAGAACCCCGTGCCAGTCTCTCAAAGAGGAATTTTTGTACTCAGGGATTGGGAGGTGGGAGATGGGAAGCTGTCTGATGCATGTCGATTTATTTCTTGATTTAATCTCCATTGCAGACACACTACCTCATTTATGGGAAGGGGTTTCAGACGTGGGAATACTCCCCAGCCTATGCCATCCGCTCCTATGCTTACCTGTGGCTCCATGCCTTACCAGCCTGGTTCCATGCTCGGGTCCTGCAAACCAACAAGGTAAATCACGTGTGTGGAACCTGCTTTCGTGGGGAATAAACGTGCCTTTAGTCTGTGTGAAAACAACCGCTTTTGTTTGTTGTCGGAGAGTTCGTGTTTACAAAACTCTCCTTGGTTGACAAACACCGACCTCCCGGGAGGGTTTCGGAGGGTTTGTGAGTTTCCCCCGATGCTTTACAAGCCCGGTTTGTGTCCCGTGCCTTCCTCACACTCCAACCATGTCTCCTAGGTCCTTATCTTCTATTTCCTCCGATGCTTCCTGGCCTTCCTGAGCTGCATTTGTGAACTCTACTTCTACAAGTGAGTGTTAGAGCCTGTCTGCAGTGAGTGTTTTGAGTGCCATGCACGGGAAACACGCTTTGAAGCTCCTGTGTGGATTGGGCTGCTTAAAAGTGAACCTTGAAAATACGTGTTCTCATGATAACTTAATGGAATACTGGTGAGAATTCCACAATTAGGACAAAACTGTACTCTCAGAGCTGCCACCCACATCTCCACTCCAGCATTTTGCTGACTACACTCGTTTTCTCACCGACAGCAGCAAGCAGGGTGGGAGTGTTGTAGACTGAGCTCTGCTGGAGGAGAGTCTGGTGCTGTGTTTGCTTACCATAGTGAATTTTACTGGAACACATTAATTGTTGCTGTGTGTAATCCATCTGCCAGTGCTGTTTACATCCACTAAAAGCAGTAAATCCTTAACATACAATTATCTTGTCTAAGCTGGGTTAGACTCTGCCTCTTCGTTTGTGATTTTCAGACTGTTACCTTGCATTTTTTTCTGTTGGGAATAATCTGATTTTAAGGATCTTTTCTGTGTCCGTTTCCCTCTTGCTTCCTCAGGGCTGTGTGCAAGAAGTTTGGGCTGCATGTGAGCAGGCTGATGTTGGCCTTCCTGGTGCTCAGCACGGGGATGTTCTGTGCTTCTGCAGGTAGGTTTGCTTGTAGCAGTGACTCTGACAGTGACCTTGTCCCTGGAAACCAGAGGCAGGGCCAGAGAGAAGAGAAGCCTCAGCTGTAACACATCTCTAACATTGTGTTATGGATCTCTAGTCTGTTTGTTGTGGTTGTGTTCTGCTGGAGGTGTTTCTCACGGCGGGTGTGACAGAATAAGTGTTGATCCACATTACCTTTTCTGTGTCGCTCTCTTACATGTTTCAGTTTCCTCTTTGTTTCCTGCTTGTTTCTGTTGCTGCCTCCTGTCTCCTGGCTGTGCCTCTCAAACAGGGGCTTGGCCTGCCTTCCTTGGACATATTTTAACCTAAGGAAGGAGGCTCCTATTTTGGCACTGCCACTTGCCTTTGTGTCCTGTCCCCTCTGCCTGGCTGCACCCGTTTTCCCAGCCACTCTGAGGCTTGTGTAAAACCCCTGCTGTAGGTATGAAGTGTGAGGAAGCTGGGCTGACCCCTTTCCTCCCTTGTGCTGCAGCTTTCCTGCCCAGCAGTTTCTGCATGTACACCACGGTGGTTGCCATGACTGGCTGGTACATGGACAAGACCTCTGTGGCAGTGCTGGGGGTGGCTGCTGGAGCCCTCCTGGGCTGGCCCTTCAGCGCAGCTCTGGGGTAAGAAAAGGAAAGCTGGGGAGTTTTGCACTTTGTCAGATATTTTTTTGCCTGTTGGGGGAGAATGCAGGGATGGAGAGCTGGAGGAAAAAACTCTCAGGGCCTGCCTGAGCCTAGTCCGTGCTATGGGCTTCCATAGCCCGAGTTCTTTGCTTCTGGAGGACTTAGGTTGGGAAGATTTCCTGATATTAATACACTGGGAGAGTAAAGCCTGAGTTGGATGGCTGGATGTGGAGTAGAAGCAGAGGCCAGTGAAGGGATGGTTCTCTCTCAGCTTGCTTTGGAGGGCAGGAGAACCTGCAGTGGGAAAGCCAAGGTCTCCAGCTGACAGCTGGTCTCTCTTTCAGGCTTCCTATTGCCTTTGACTTGTTGATACTGAAGCAGAGGTGGAAGAGTTTCCTGAACTGGTGCGTGGTGTCACTGATCCTGTTTTTGGTAAGTGCCTGTAGCAATGCAGAGAGGGAATGGATTGGGCTTGTGACAGGAGGGATGAATTCCTTCAGGAAAATCACATGGAGCTTTAGTGCAGCCCAGCCAAAAGCTCCTGGCACTTTAACAGCTGCTTTCTTCCAGGTGCCCTTGGTGGTGGTGGACAGCTATTACTATGGGAAGCTGGTGGTTGCACCTCTCAACATTGTTTTATACAATGTCTTCACCCCTCACGGGCCTGATCTCTACGGTGAGTTTAAGATAACAAGCCAAGAAGGGAGTTGGGAATTTTTCTTGCTACTGTGACTCCCCCCCCAGCTCTTGATTGCCAACCCTTTTTCTGATGTACCCTGGAGCAAAAGCTGCCTGCAAGCTCCAAAGGCTGCAGCTCCAGCTTCTGGACACGGGATGTCTCTCTTGAGCTGGGAATCCACAGGCCATTGAGCTGGTGCTGCTTTTGTTCACTTCCCAGTTCTGCAAACCACCGTGAGGTGTCTCAGTGTCACAGCAGAGAGCTGGCAGTGTGTGGCTGCTGAGTGGGCACAAGGGATACCTGTGTGTGTTTGTGAGATTTGATGGACTTCCTGGCTGTTGCTCCTCACAGCCAGGGTGCAGAAACCTTGGAAAAGCAGGTGGCAGTGCAGAATCAGTAGTTTTTTCCAGTTCACATTGTGTGTCTGCAGCCCATGCTGTGCCTTGGGAATCCCTTTGCTCTTTGGCAGTGTGTGGCCTGGACTTTGCTGGAAAGTGGGATCTGAGGGTGCCATAAGGCAAATCATCTGCCTGCAGGGGGTTCCCTGATAACTGTGGGACCCAAATCCCGACTCTGAGCCTCCAAGGCAGTGCTGGGAGTGCTGTTTGTTTGGGAGCTGCCACTGCGCTCAGTTGTCCATGAAGAGTAAGGAAAATATTCCATTTCTTGCAGGGCTCCAGAGGGGCTGGGGGAGACCTCAGGGTGCAGGGTCCCTGCATCATCCCTGTCCTCTGAGCCCAGCCCAGTCTGAGCTGTTCCAGGAGGGATTCAGCAGTGCTCAGCAGCAGCCAGGCTCTCTCTGGCAGTGCCCTGCAGCCACATTTGCTGGTTCATTGGCAGGGCTGTTCTGGATGGTGCTGAGTGGTGATTTGTCACTTGTGCTGTGGCACAGCAGGGCAGCAGCTGCTTTGCCACGGTTCCTCCTCTCTGCAGGAGGGCTCTGAAGGCTGTTGCTGGGAGTTTTCTATAAGTAAACTCCAGGCCCTGTCTCTCTGATAGGTTTTGGCATGGGCCTGTGCCTGACCTTTTCCACACTGGTGCATGAGTTGTTTCCAGAAGCCTCCAGGGACCAATGTGTTCTGAAGTGTTTTATTCATGGTGACATTCATATAACATCCTCAGGCTAGTAAAAGAGCCTGCTTGAAATTGCTCTTTAATGCAGTGTGGCCAGGACAGCGCTGTGTGTTTAGAGAGCCTCGAAACACTGGGGAGAAATAGCCCCACCAGGGGAGGTGAGGGGCTGGCCAGTCCCTCCAGGCTTTGGAGCTGGGATTTCCCAACTTTCACATGATGGGAGCAGAGTGACCAGCCCACAGCATCTTCAGTGTTTTGGAGACAAGGTTCAACTTCTTTCTTTTGTCTTTAGCAATACACTCCTTCTACATAAACACTGGCTGTGCAGTTAGTATTTCCCTGGGGGAATTAGGTTTCTACAGCCAAGGGAGAGCAGTTTCTAAGCATATATCCCTAAGCCTGATTCTGAGACTTTGTGAGGTTTTTGCCTGCATGTGTTCTAAGAAATCCCAATTTGTGACCAGAGTTTTGCCCCACTTTCTGTGCCTGGAGCCTCAGCTGTGACTTGCAGTGTGATGGCACTTTGGGGAGCTTTGTTCAGCTTGGGCTGTTGGTGTGACACCTTTGCTCTGCTGGGTCCTGGTTCTTCAACAGAGTGAAAATAAACGAAATGCAGCGAGCAGAGTGTTTGTTATACTAGCACTGAATCAGGCTTGCTTAGAATGAGGGCTGTGACTCATGAGCAAATTATTGCAGCTTAGTTACTGCTGAAGAGCTGAGCTGCAGCTCCTGCCTGCACCCAGGCTGGGCCCAGCACAGGGTGGGGCAGCTGAGCCTAAGCCTATTTTACAACTGCTCTGCTGTGGCCTCCCCATTGCTGTGGTCAAGGTGGTTTGTCCAGTTCCATCACCTTGGGTGGGAGTTGGATCTCCAGGGTTGCTCCCGGAGCCTGTCAGGTCTCAAAGGACAAAGCAGTGTCTGGCTCAGTGCCTGACAGTGCTTCCAGCTGGTTATCCCCATGGAGCCATTGTGCCAGGAGCTGGCTGGGCCACAGTGTTCTTCCCACTGCCTTCATCAGTCCCTCTCCTACAGCTCTCCTACAGCTCTGGGGGACACTTGCAGGAACTTCCCTCTCCTGTCCTGCTCTGGAAGCACATTCCCATCACTTCTGTGCATGGAGAGTTCCTCAGTGTCCCTCCATGCTTGAAGGATGCTGTTCTGGGTCAGGACTCCTTGTGTGCACTGGGGTTTTTCTTTTTTCACGCTGCAGTTCCCTCTCAGTTCACCTTGAGTCGTGTGGATAACAGGAATAAAAGCATTTTGCCCTGGGAGGCATCGAGCCTGAATGGCTCTGAATGGGTGAGTCACCACAACCCAGCCTATTGCTTTTTGCCTGCTGTGCACTGCTCTCCTCTCTCTTTTTCTTTTTCTTTTTTTTTTTTTTTCTTTTTATTATTTTTTTTCTCCTCTTCAGAGAAGAAAATCCCTCATTGGAGAAGGAGGGAAGGCTCCAGTGCTTAGTTTTTAAGGACGATTCAGTCACACTGCAAAAAAAAAAAAAAGTGAAGAAAGTAGCCTTTTTCCCTTAAAACTGTGCTTCCCACCAGCTGATCTCTTTATTAGCAGCATCCCTCAGGGGTGTGTTTGGATTATGGATTATTCATGAAGTACCCTTCACTCTTGATCCCTAGGCTGCCAAGACTAGAAAGAGCCCATTTCCTTTGCTTTCCATAGGGCAGGTAGAAGGGTGACTGCGTGGTCCCTGCTGCTATCCTTTAAAGATTTGGGGTTTACCTATAACTGCTGTTTGCTTTCAGTGCTAATAATTGAAGGTTTCCTATATGAACCTCATAGAGGTTGCTTGGGCTTGGCCTCAGTGACTCCAGGGACATTTTATGACATTCTTGGTGCAGCTTCTGCTCGAGTTTGGCTGTGGGAGCTGCAGAGGGTTCAGATTTGGCTGTGGGAGCTGCAGAGGGTTCAGGTTTGGCTGTGGGAGCTGCAGAGGGTTCAGATTTGGCTGTGGGAGCTGCAGAGGGTTCGGGTTTGGCTGTGGGAGCTGCAGGGGGTTCGGGTTTGGCTGTGGGAGCTGCAGAGGGTTCGGGTTTGGCTGTGGGAACTGCAGAGGGTTCAGATTTGGCTGTGGGAGCTGCAGAGGGTTCGGGTTTGGCTGTGGGAGCTGCAGAGGGTTCGGGTTTTCCTGCCTGCTCTGCCGTTGTCTGATTGATTTCAACGCGGACCCTTCTTTAAGTGGCTCTGATTGCAGGAAATTGCTGTGGCGTGTGACACATGTCACAACAGTGCAGTGATTAAAGCCCCCGCGTGTCATTTACTGACTGATTGAGCTAATCACACCCAGGGAGTGGGAAATGTGTGGAGAGGAACTGGCATTCCTCATTGTTAAGGGTTTTAAGCGTCCAAATAAATGACAGTTGGATTGGAATGTCTTTGAATTTACATCCTTGGAAGCTCGCAGCCAGTACCCAAGTGTGTCATGGGAGGAGGCAGAGCTGCCTTGCTTCTGTTTGAAGCATATCTTAAATAGTTCTGACTCTAAGGAGGTACCAAAACTAGCATTTGGGTGAGCTTCAGTGGCTGAGTCTTTGTTGGGGTGAAGTGGGAATGCAAACTCTTTCTTCTTAATCCTTTTGAGAACATTTTCTGCCAACACTGAGTGTACGTGGTCACTCCAGAATTGTATGGCGTTGTGTGGTTTTGTGTTGCTCCCCTCTTACTTCTCTGCCATTAGAAAGAATGAATTTGGAGTCAAGTTTCCACCTCCACACCTTGCTCGTGTGGTCTTCCTGAATGCAAGAGTGAATCGTGTGTCAGAACTCTGCTGGGCTCTTGGGTTGAGCTGTGACCCAGGAGCAGTATTGATGTTACATTGATATTGATTGTGACCCAGTGAAAAAATAAGGAGGAAAATCATTTCTGAAAAGGAAGGAACTGAAGTTTCTCGGGCAGGTGTGGTTGTGAGATGCTCTGGTGCCCCTGTATTGCTGCTGACTAACTCTGGGAGTCGGGCAAAGCTGCTGCTCCATCCAGATGTCATCCCAGGCTTGTATTCCAAACATCTTCTTTCCTTTTTCTCACCCTTTAGGTACAGAACCCTGGTCCTTCTACTTCATCAATGGCTTTCTGAATTTCAACGTGGCTTTTATTCTGGCCCTGCTGGTGCTGCCACTGACCTGTCTCATGGAGTGTCTGCTGCAGAAGTTCCATGGTGAGTGCAGGGAGAGCCAGGCACAGCCAGCCCAGACCTCAGCCTGGGGCTGCAGGCAGAGCTTTAGCCTGCCAAAGAGCAGCTTTGCTTTATTGGGAGCGAAACTGGGCTCAGCCAAAGTCTTTGGAGTAATAGGAGAGTTCCTGGAGCTCATTACTGAGTCCAGGGTTGTTCCCTGCCTCCACCTCCAGAAGGACAATGTGTTTTCAAGGCTGGATTTACCCATACCCAGAGTGAGTTTAACAAGGGGTGTGGTACCCAACCCTCAGTCTGACATTTCAATAGTCTTAAGGGGAAAAGAAACTGTGTACCTGTAGTTTCCATCTGGTCTGCAGCTGGAAATGGGAACCTTTGGAGTAACTGGGGAACGTTTTTGGGGTTGAAGTGGGCTCTTCTGTGCACTGTGAAAGGCACTCTTGAGCTCACAGGACTGAGCCCTGGCAGGACTGCCCATGCTTTGGGAAGTGTCCCCAAGGGTGTGGATATACTGAGAGCAGGAAAAGGAGGAACCAGAATATTCCCTGCTTCACGTTGGGCTTTTTCTTAAATAAAATGACATCAGTTTAAACACATGACATTTGGTAAGGGACTCTGGAGAGGAAGTGTGAATTCTTCTCTGCTGTTTTCCTGAGGAAGATTCATCAAGTGTCAGCAGCAGCCTCCAGATTCATCAGTCCAGTCAGTGCTTTGCTCTCTCTCTGATTTTTTTACTGAATACAAGAAGCAGCAATATCATAATCCCCCATGAAAATGTGTGTTAACGGGTGTTTGCTTGTATCTGTTCCTTGGCTATGACTGACATACTGTCAGGAACCAGTGAAAGCTCAGTAGGAGATCCTGTAAATGCAAGATTTCCTGCTGTTCACTTGGTGTTCTTGTGCTTAACAGCGATTCTGCCAAGTGCTTTGTTCACATTGTCTGTGAAATGCCGTTGGCTTAATTGCTTAACTCTGCTGTTGGGAGTAGTAAGGGGGCAGAGAAGGGACTGCAAATTGTCAGGCAGTGCAGAACCCTCCTCAGTGTGACTGAAATTCAGGGTAATTGTTGTTATTTTTGAATCAGTTATTTCCTCTGTTAAGCAGAAGGCGCCTGAGAGACCTCTCATGCTGTTATTTTTGTAATGAGGCAATGAGGGTTGTGGAAATTTCAGTCCACAAACAAGCCTTTGTGAGGGGAGAGGGGGATCCAGGGGAGATCCTTTCTGATCTTTGTATGTACAATACCCAGCAGGAGATCTGCTTCTGACTGCCTGATTTGTCAGTCCTTGGTGGGTTTTGTCTCTTCCTTGGGTTCAGTGATGCAGTCCCTTATTTTCTGTCCTCCTAAATCTGTTGGAGTTGTTAGTATTGTAGGAACCTGTAAAAATTCCCTGATGAAGGTTCTGTGCTGACTGTTTGGCCATGTTTCCTGGATTTCAGCAACGTGGGTGCTCAGAACAGGCTGTGTTTGTGTCTGAAGGCAATGGTTTGGGTCTGGAGAACGGGCTTGGAGGGTGAGATGTGACTGTGCAAGGGAGGGAGTGGGTTAAACCCCTCATTTCTTGCATTGCTGCTGCTTTGCTGAGTTTCTGTTTCCTCCAGTTCAGAACCTGGGCCGTCCCTACTGGCTGACCCTGGCTCCCATGTACATCTGGATCCTGATTTTCTTCAGCCAGCCCCACAAGGAGGAGAGGTTTCTCTTTCCCATCTATCCCCTCATCTGTCTCTCTGGTGCTGTGGCTCTCTCTGCTCTCCAGGTAAGTTTTAGTGGAACATGGTTTTAGTTTAGGTCATACCTTTAGGAAACCTGATTTCCAGCTGATTTCTTTTAACATTGCTTCCCAAAGTTTGGGGACACCTGCAGAGTACCTGTGCCTGTGACACAGCTCAGGACTGTCCTGTGCATAGCTTTGGATCATCATCTTTAATCTGTAGCTGGTACAGTTTAATATTTGAACCACATTTCATGGACAGGTGTTGAGACTGTGGAAGCAAAATACTCAGCCCTTCTGGTACTGAAGTGTTGCTGATTTTACACATTAAACCACAATCTTCCTGTGCAGGTTGACTGAGAGTGTGTGGAAAACTATTATCCCCCTGTAAGATGTGATGTAAAAGCAAAAATATTTGGGATTTCCCTCCTGAGTGTCATACAGAATGAGCTCAGCTGATAATTCTGGATCTGAGTGCAGCAAAAACAGATCAAATTTCATGGCTTTATAAGGTGATCCCATCCAGCTTATCCAGGATTGTCTGAAGTGATAAATAGCTGAGAATATTCCCTTGCCACTGATTATTTTGTGTTGGCTTTGGGTCGTTCTCCCATGCCCAGTGGGAATTCCTGGTGGGGAGCAGTTGAGATGTTGTGGTGCCAGCACAGCACAACACCCAGGAGATGCCATGAGGGTTGGTGACTTGGTGACAGCATTGGGGCCTCCTTTGTCTGGTGGTCAGGGCAGGAATGTGGGTGTGTAGGATTCTGGTGAATCCTTCACTGGCTTGAAAAAGGAAAAGTGATGTTGTTTAGGTGCCAGGAAACTGGGTTGGATACTTGGAGGAGCCAAAACCTGGATGTTTAGTAAATATCTCTTGAAGCACTTCACAGAGCAAAGCACTAATAGAGACTGATATAAACCTTCCCAGGGTCAAAATTATTCATCTTCCCCTGTTCAAAAGGCCCAGGAATGCAGCCATTAGTCCCTGCCTGAGCCTGTTCCTGCTGTTTGGCCTCATCCTGCTGTTCCTCCTGTGTCCTGCTGAGCACCAGTGGCAGCTCCTGTCCTGGGCTCCCCACCAGCACTGCCTGCACCCCTCAAACCTCTCACTCTTCCCTCCTGACTGCTCATCTCCCATCACTGCTGGTGTTCCAGTGCCCACCTGCAGTCCCCCAGCTGAGTTTCAGTCCTTGCACCCGTGCAGGACCGAGCTCTAATGTCAGCAGTTTTGTGGCTCTGCCTGTCACAACATCACAGGGCGCTGGTTTAGGACCTTTGCCAAACGTGGCTTTAGAAAAAAATCCAGTGTACATTTCTGCCCTGCATTTTTTAGCACTGCTGGATGACATTTTGCCCAGTATAGAGTGTCCAGCTGGGAATTGAGAACTGATTGCCCACCAGCAGTCCAGGCTGGTCACTCTGCTCCTCCAAACCACGTGGATGTGACTGTCATGAGGAAAATGCAAACAGGACTAGAGAAGCAGAAACCAGCTGAGGATAGGAAGTGAATAACCAGAAAGGTAGAGCAGGAGGGAGGGCCCAAGCCAAGGACTGGATGTATTTCCTTCTGAGTGTCCCCAGAAAGGCTTTTACATTTAAAAAAACCCCAAAAGGCTTTTCCTTTATCGGTTTCAGAGTGGCTCTGTGTGTCCTTTCGTCCACTTCAGAGCTGGAGTTGGTGCAGGCAGGGTAAACAACTGCAGGTCACCCAGGAAATCTGGGTCATGGAACTCGTGCTGGAGAGCGAGTCAGTGCAGGCTGGAAAATGAGGTCTGGCTGTGCAGGGCAGTTCTGCAGTGTCTGAAGGGCGCTCCTGCTTCACCTGGGAACAGCCAGGCTGGAGCACTGCTAGTGAGCACTTGACAGCTTTGACCTGAAGCCTGCCTGGGGAAAAGAGCTGAAAACTTCTTTAGTTACCCTGGATTTAACTTAAAAAAATGTGACTGAATTTCTGTGCGTTTCGATGAGTCCGAATTAAAAAAAACAAAGAGCAGAGACCTGGAGGGAGGTGCAGCCGCTGCTGCAAGGTCCTCGTGGAAGACAGGATCTTGCTAAACAGCTTTGGAGTAATTTTATGTCGTCTCTTTTTTATTTTTCTTTTTCACTCTCTCCTCAGAAATGTTACCACTTCATATTCCAGCGGTACCGCCTGGAGCACTACACGGTGTCCTCCAACTGGCTGGCCCTGGGCACCGTCTTCCTCTTCGGCCTTTTGTCCCTGTCCCGCTCTGTTGCCTTATTCAGAGGTTGGTATTTTACAGGAGGTTGGTGTTTTGCACCTGCCCTGTGCTTTCCTGGGCCTTTGGCTTGGCAGAAGTTGTGCTGCTTCGATTCCGGCGGCGGGTAAAACTAAGGAGTCTCCAAAAGTTGGGATGTCATTGCTGCAGGGGGGGGAATAAGCTTTAATTAATTTAATCACCGTTAATGAATGGTTATATATGTGTGTCTACATGCACATTCATCCATACATATGTATATGTTCACATATGTATGAATAAACCACTGGAATTACATCACTCACAAACCTGCCCCTCACCTTCAGCCAGCACAGCCCTACTGATACAAAAATGTACCCAGACTGGTATTAAAGCAGATACTTCAGCTTTCAGATACTTGAAACAGCATTTTCCCCACGTAAAACTTGGAATTGGGTGCATATGTCCTTAATGGAGATGGATTGGGCACGGTCCTTAAGAACCTTCTGGAATGGGAGCCATGCAGTGAGCCTTCCCAACCTCAGCAGTATGGTTTTGGGTTCTGGTGGCCACTGCCAGGGCAGGGAAATGTGAGTAAAGAATCTGTGCTAAAAAGAATCCAGCCACTTTTTAGCACAGACCAGTTCATTTATTCAGGAAGTTACCAGTGACATGTGAACGAGGTTTTTGTAGGCTTCCCAAAGCAGCCACGTAAATGCCCCTCTTATTCTGATTTTCTGCCTTGCACAGGCTACCATGGGCCCCTGGACCTGTACCCAGAGTTCCACAGGATTGCCACTGACCCCAGCATCCACACAGTGCCAGAGGGGAGGCCAGTCAACGTGTGTGTGGGGAAGGAGTGGCACAGATTTCCAAGCAGCTTCCTGCTGCCAGAGAAGTGAGTGCTTTCCTGCCAAAGGCACGGTTGGGTGAGGGGCACTTCTCCTGAGTGTTGTGGGGGTGACCCTCAGGTCTCAGCTGGCACCAGCAGGTGTCCTTGGCTGTGCCTCTGGTGTTCCCCACAGGGAATGTCACTGGATTTTCCCTGTTCCCTGCAGCTGGCAGCTCCAGTTCATCCTGTCGGAATTCAGGGGCCAGTTACCCAAACCCTTTGCCAAGGGCCCCCTGGCCACACGGCTCATTCCCACGGACATGAACGACCAGAACAAGGAGGAGCCATCTCGATACGTGAGGATTCTGTTCCCGTTTCCTTCTCCTTCCCTCGCTGTGTCATTCCTTACCTAACTGCATCATTACTGTAGAATTTGTAGTAATATCGTGCCCATGGCTGGGTCTCCCTAATTTGTTTCCTGGGGGGAAGTTACAGGACAAAAATGGTCCCTCTGCAGCCCTGGGAAATTTCCCCACTGATGTGAATGTTTTCTGTTTGCATTTCATCTGCCCATTTAAAGGCATAAGAAAAGAAGCAGAAGAAGTGATAGTTCCCAGTTGTTGCAATTTTGGGTTCAGCAGAGAGTGTGTGAGCACAGGAAGGTGAACTGAATGAGTAGTTTGAAGTCCCCCACAGAAAATATTTTGAAATTTTGCTCTGTACTTTCGTGTCTTTTTAAATATAGCAGGATTCATCACATTTGCAGCTGAGAAGGAGGAACTTAATTTGGAACTCCACTGAAACAATTGCATCAGTGATTTCAGTGGGAATCATTTAAGATAATGTACACTGGTATTACTGATTGATGCTTTTAATGTCTGTATTGTGTTACCTAAACAAAAGCAGTGCACACATATGAATATTTTAAAATTATATTGATGATATAAAAATAATTTAAAATCATTCTTTAAAATTAACAGGTTAAATCTTGGCAATCTGCTGGGTTAAATCTCCCTTCTTTTGAGGCTCATTGTGCAGCTACAGGAATGGGAAGGAGGCGTGTTCCCACCTGAGAGGAGCTGTCTGCTGCAGTGCATTTAATTTATGAAATCTTTAACTGTGGCATATTTTTAGCACAGACAGCTGGCTGGTGCTCAGCCTGTGACTAATGGAGCAAAACACACTTTTGTTTCATGCTTGTTTCTTAATGTCACCCTACAACTTGGTTATTCCTCATGCAACCAAAGGGGCCCGGAACATTAAAAAAATTAGCCACTAAATGTTGATTTTCAATTTGGGTTTAAGGCTTTGACTTCTGACCTGGCAGTAGCACCAAGAGATCAAGGCATTTTCTTGAGTTGAGTGAGCTTAGGAGTGCAAGCACACCCAGATTTAAAAAAAAAAAAATAGAAGGACTGTGATAGTGAGTAAATCTAAATAGCACAAGCCTGTTGGCCATTTAAAGGGGAGAAAACAAATGGTTCAAGAGGATTATCTGAGCCATGGAGCTTCAAACCCATTAATGGCTTCAGAAATGGGGCTGATCTCGTTGTTTCAGGTGCAGGTCTCTGTTACTGCTCTGCTTGAAAATGGAAGGGTAAATCTCAGTGTTTCTGTTGCTATGAGACACTGGGGAGAAGAGTTGATTTGATCCTGTTTTGCAGTTCTTCCTTCCTTAATCACGTTGAGCAGCACTTGCCTTGCACTTGTCCTACCAGGGAGGTGCATTTGTCCCTGAAGCTGCTGAGAGGGAGATGAGGAGCATTATTCCCTACAGAAATGTATCCAAGCAGGAACAGCAGATCAGACCTAAAAGCTGAAACTGTTGACAACAACTGACTTCAGAGGAAGTTTGGGTTTTTTTGACCACTTTCTTTTCACTCGTAGCAGCCCTCCAGAGCCCAGTGAGAGACAGCAGCAGCTGTGCCCTGAGCTCCAGCTCTCTGCTGTGCCCACTCCTGTTAGTCAGGGTGGCACCAAATTTAGCTCCCCACCACTCAGCACTGCAGTTGCATCAAAGAAAGAGAGAGTGGGAGGAGGAAAAGGAAAGGAGAAGCGAGGAGGGTGGGATGTAATTTAGAAATCCCCTGCAGCTTTGTTCACTGAATGGTTTCTTTGCACAGGGAAACGTTTCAAGGTCTGTGCATCACCAAAGCCTGGTGTAAATGCCCAAATAAATGCACAGGTGCTGTGTTGGCCCTCTGACCAGGATGAATGTTATCCTTGGCTTCAGTGTAACTTCTAGGAATGCTCTGTGTTCACTTAGAATTGTACCAGGGAAATCTTTCACCTGGCATTTTAAGTGCCTGCCCTTCTAGGGGAGAATTTAGAATGTGAGATTAGTCTTAGTGCTTGAGGCAGTAACTTGCCTTTCTCTGAATGACTCTACATCACTTACAGGAAAACTTGGTTAGTGCTTTGGGAGTCTTTTTGCTAATGAGCCAGAACCTCTCCCAGGGCCTGGAATGTTCTTCTCACACAGTGCAAGGAGTGGATTCAACATTCTCCTCAGCCGAGTTTCCCAGGGTGTAATTTCATTTGCCACTGAGCTGTGATGCCACAGAGCCATCTGGTATCCACCTAATTAAATTGTTTTCAGCCTAAATCGTTACATTAAACCCCAGAGGTGCTTCAGAAGAGTGATTTCAGGCATGTCCAAGGAAGTTTGCAATCAAATTCTGTGGGAGATTTCAAGACTTGCCATGGGATGACAAGACTGAAGCCCTCAAATGCTGTGAGCTCTGCAGAGTTAACAGGTTGTGGGGGTTGTGTGACCCTTGTGGGTACCCCATCCTGGTCTGTGTGTATTCAAATGTTGCTCTGTGTGTAACCAGATGAGCTGGAATTGTGTGCAACTGGTTGTAAAAGGCATGAAAAATGAGGTGAGTGATTTCTTTTGGAGGAGGCTGTCAGATAGGCATGAACCAGGAAGAAGATTCAGTGCAGACATCAGGAGACATTTCTAACCATAAAGACAGCAGAGTGTTTTGCCTGGGGAGCTTGTGGAGTCAGCATTGTACAAAGTCTTTAGCAGCTAATTAGACAACCCCTGAGAAAAGCACCAACAGAATCGGTTCTGCCACCTCTGTGACTTGACAGTTCCCCAGCAAGGGAAGCTGGCAGTGGTCCTGCCTCAGAGAGGGACCTGAGGATGCTCCCCTTGGGAGAAAGCAGCCTGTGTTCCCCCAGAAAGGTTTTGCTTGAGAACGTTCAGAACAGGTTACCGTGTGTCCTGCAGGAAGCCTTTCCCCTGCTGCTGGAAATTTAACCCTCTTCCCATTGCTAAGTAACATAACAGCCTGTATAAATAAACACATAGAGCCAGGAACCCGCAGGAAATAAAGCACAAGGATGTCTTTCTTTCTGCAGATTGACATTTCCAAATGCCACTATCTGGTGGACTTGGACACAGCAACTGAGACCCCCAGGGAGCCCAGGTATTCCTCCAACAAAGAAGAGTGGGTGACCATTGCCTACAAGCCATTCCTTGATGCTTCCAGGTATGCTCTGCACGTCTGGGGATGGGGGCTGGCAGGGCTGGGCTGTCTGCTTGCAGGAGGAGCTGTGCACAGGGAGGAGAGAGGGTGACAAATGCCACTCTGAAGTCCAGTTTCCAGTAAAGGCAGCTTGCTGGCCACAGTGGAACCTTTGTCAAACTTGTGCCTGCAATATTTATGAGCTAAGAGGGTGAAACCAGCTGAGGAGGGTGGTGAGAAGGATTATTTTTAAAAAGAATCCTCCCTGTGCACTCCTTGCTGAAGCAGTGTTTTTTGGTTTGCTTTCCAAAGAAGGGAGGTGGATGTCATCTCCTCCCAGCATCTCCTCCCAGCAGACCTTTGAATCTGCTGCTTTGTTTCAGCCAAACTCGAGGCAGGTACAAGTCAGTCTCAGAGGGCATGAGCTCTTACAGCCTTCATGAAAGCTGGCAGACAGAGAGGAGGCAGTCAGCAAGGGCACACCTTTCTTAGGCATCAGAAAATCCATGCAAGAGATCCCTGTTAGAATCTGTCCCTCAGTAGTTCTGCTGCTCACTGAACAACTTGCCTGTGTGTCTGAACAGCAGCTCCTGTGGGAAGCAGAGGTTGGGTTTGCTCTCCTCCAGGCTGACAGGGGGTGAAGTCAGGGCTGTCAAACTGGGAGTGTTGTTAATACAGCCCTGCAAACACAGAAACCCTCAGCTGTGAGGGGGAGGTTACTTAGCCACTGAAAGCTCTGGTCATGTCGTTGTCATACCAGGACAGAGGGGCTGACTGGAAAAACCTCTGTAAAAAACCCACCCAGGGTTCAGTGCCCTCCTGTTTTCTGTGGGAGACCTTTTAATTCCTAGTACAAGGACCCTCCAGGGAGTGGGGCTGGTAAAGGCAGCTGAGCAGAGAGAAAGAGTGATAATAATGATAGAGCAGCTCCCAGGGGAGCTCTGATGTTCCCAGCCTGCTGACACAAACAGGTTTCCTTGGCAAGGCCTTTCCTGGATGATGTTTTCCAAGAGCCCTGCTGTTACATTTGGGCAGGACTTCAGGAAGGGAGAACGAGGTGGCCAAAGAGTCTTATTAGTGAGGAAAGAGAAGCATCTGCACGAGAGTTTTGCAAAGGACTCCTTGTGCAGAGTGTGTGCCCTTAAATGTGCATTTCTGCTTTGAAGGCTCGTTGGTGTGTTTTTAGAGCTGGTTTATCTTGCTGTTCTCCACTGAACAGCGAAACTTTGATTGGTTTGGACCTGATCTAAAGTCCTTTGAAGTCAGTCAGGTCCAGATGAGCCTTTAAGACCCCTTGGGGATGTAATTTGCTGGGGGTGCTTTAGAGGCAGCTCTGCTGCAGAGGTTCTACCTGCCTGATGAAAGCCAAATGAATTATTCTGCTATGACTGACTGTCTCACAGACTTCTCCAGGATGTCCTGGATTCTCTGTGGCTTCTTTCAACACAGAATTCCTCATTTTCCCTGTGCTTGGCTGATGTTTGGTCGAGAGGGAATTGGTCTGTCTCGTGGGCTTTTTGGGTTATTGCACTTCCAGCCCCCACCCATCGCCTCTGAATTTTTGATTAACGCTCATGTGGGTACCACAAACCACTGCTCTCTCTCCTGAACCCATTTCAGATCCCCTGGGAGGCTCAGTGCTGAGCTGAGTCCTTGTCACTCTCTTCTCAGCTCTAGTGCTGTTTCCATGTAGCCACTGACATTTTTCTTCCTTCTTTTTCCCCCCCCTTCCTTCTTGATTGGGGAATTTCCCTATTTACAGCTAAAACCCCTGCATCCTGCCAGGCATCCCTGGCTGGCTGGCCCTCAGGAGTTTGGCTGAACACACAGGTAGATGTGGTGGTGGAGCTCTGCTCTTCCAGGGGAGATGCTGTCAAAGCACTTCCTGCCAGACAAGAGGCTGGAAACTTCTTCCCAGGCTTGGCACTGAGAACCTGTGCAGTCATTTTGATTTGATTTACGATGCTGTGTGTTGCATTTAGATCATCCAAACACCAAGATCCCCAAGCAGTGTGTTCCTGGCTGGCTGAGGATCCCTGCAAGCCTGCAGCCAGACTCCAGTAGCCCACTCAGTTCTGTGTGTGGTCCTTCATGTCTGCCTTGGGAAGGGAGGCTGCTCGTGGCTGTTGCTGCTGGAAGTGATGCCTTGGCTTGTTGTAGCAAAGGCATCATCTCACCACGGAGCAGCAGCTTGTTGTGGGAAGCTGGGAATCACAGGGAGATCCTGGAACTTCAGAGCTCTGAGCCTGGTGATGGTGAGATGGAAAAGGCAGAACATGAGAGGTGGGAAAGGGGAGCAACTGCCTGGCTGAGCAGTGACAGATCATCTGAAGGTGAAGGGGACCATTCTGGCTGCTGTGCCCTCCTTGGCAAAAGCTGCTGCATCTGTGGGAGGCTGGGATGGAAGAGGGTTTGCAGAGCATGTCCTGGGAGGAGATGAGGAGACCGGGCAGCCCCATCCTCAGCCCTGTGGTGTCACCTGTCAGCCTCCCCTGCTCCCGTTCCTGTCATTCCCGAGGCTGTTCCTTATCGAGGCAGCACAGCTGGAGCAGAGGGGAGCTGTGGTGCCTTCAGCAGTGGAGGAGGCCAGGTTGCCATGGCAGCAGGGCTGATTTCCATCCCTGCTGTTCCCACCTCCTGCGGTTCCAAAGGCTGAGCTGTGCCCCGGCACAGACCTTGGCAGGGGGGGCAGCTCCAGGGCACAGGGCTGGGAAGGGCTGGGAGGGCCTGGGCTCACCCAGGGGGTATCACTGAGGGGGGAGAGAACCAGGTACATCTCCCCAGCTTGTCTCCCTGAACCTGGAGAGGAACAGTAAGGCAGGAACAGCTGCCCAGCAGTGGGCACAGCTTCCCAGGACAGCTCAGGGTCCAGTGAGGAGCAGGGAGAACAAACCACACGAGGCCTGATCTGCCCTGTTTCGAGCCAGTGTGGCATTTAAAGGTGTCACAATTATAATTGGATGGTGCAAAAAAAGTCAAGGCCCCTTTTGCCAGCTCATCCACAGCAGCAAGAGGTATTGGAGAGCAGCTCTCTTTGCATTGCATTTCTCATCATTTTTGTCACATATATTTTAATTTCTCTCTGTAATTAGGCCCTTGGAGAAGAGGCAGGGTGGATGAGTGACTAGGGGGCTCAGTGGGATTTGGTGTTCCCATGACTCTGCCCTTCAACCCTCCCTGTGTTGCAGTTTCCCATTTGGGCCAAAGGTTTGTTAGGTCCCCACTTATCTCCAGGAGCTTGTTGGCAATGCATGTAAGGAGCTTAAACTTCAGAACAGCAGGGACAGGTAAATGCCTTTGCATTGTTTTGCACCCAAGTACTGGAATTTTGCTGCAACATCCATATAAAGGTTTCCCATGGCAAACGTTCACAGTCGGGCTGTTGAGCTCCGAGTGCGTCAGAGCCTTTCTAAAATAAGACAAGTGTTGTTTGCTTTGGTTTTCTTCCCTGAGTGTGCCTGAGTTGTAACCTGCATCAAATCTCGGGGCTCCAGCAATTCCCAGCAGGGACAATGACCCAGGTTTGGCAGCAGATTGGCAGATGAGGGGGGCAGTGCCAATGGCAGCAGTGCTGGCTTTGTTTGCCACCCCAGCCAGCCAGAGGGTTCTCTGAGGGCATCCCTGGTGTCTCAACACTGTTTCAGGGATGCAACAAGTACTTGTGCAGTCCAGAAAGGTGTTTGCAGCCCTGACAGGGGAGCAGGTGTGGAAATCCCAGCAAAAGCACTTGTGTGGCTTGGTTTGATTTTGATTTGAGACGCTAAATTTGGGCACTGCTGTCTGTCTCAGAGTTGAGAAATGCATCGTTCTGCTGCAGGGGAGCAGTGACACAGCTGTGACAGCGAGTTGTGTGCTAGAAATGAGTGAGCTGGAAGGATCCTAGAGCTAGTAGATCCCTGGGGAGACCTTCCCAGGGTCAGACACACAGGTTGTAGAGGCAGTGAAGCTGCATCAAGAACTCCTTTGGTGCCCCAGAGTGCTCACATTTCTGAGCATGTCCCTTCCCCCCTCACCAGAGTGACACATCCCTCAAACCCAGCACCTGCTTCCACACAGAGGTTTGGAAATGTCTCTTGCTACCTATGAAATAAGTGTAAAACCACTATGAAAAATGCAGCTTTGTTTTTTTTTTTTAATAAAAGCTGAGGAGGAACAGAAGTGTCCCTTGGAGCTGGGCTGTGAGGGGAGCTGCCAGGGGAGATTTCAGGTTTGCAGCTCTCAAAAAAACCCCATCAAGCACCTCCCCACCCAAACCCAAACTGCAGCTCTTGTTCTTTGAAAATAAATGACCCCAACAGCTCAGTTCACTCCTGCTGAACTGGAGGCTTCTGGGACTCACTGTGAGTCTCCCATTGACGTCAGCAAGTGCAAATGTAAATCTCAGCTGGCTCTGATAAATGGTGCTGCTAATTGAATTAGAGAGCACTCCAAGCCACCAGCTAATTATGCTCCTCAGGAAGCTGCTTTGCCAAGGTCCATTTAATTCTATATTGGCTGAGCACTCCGAATCTGGCACAGAAAAAGGGGAAATATATCACAGCTCCCCACTGAGGAGCACATATTTCTCCAGCTCTTTAGGCTGAGCCGTCTGCTTGCTCCAAACACTTGGATTTTCCATCAAAAAAAAAGTAAAATTAGTGCAAAGTGAATGCTTGGGTCACCTTGTTGGAGCACATCAGCACCCTGGTGTGACAAGGGACTGTCTCATTCCCTGTGTGTTACTTGAGTTGTTTTCCCTGCTTCTGTTTTACAAGGGGAAGTAAGGAATGGTTTGAATTACCTCTGAGGTGGGTGTTGGTACAAAATGTGGCACCTGGAGGAAGTGCAGACGTTAATGGGTTTGCAGAGAGCTTTGATCCTGAGCTGCCTGTGTGTGCCCGTGGCTGGGAGGCACTGGGTCCTTCCTGCCCCTGTGGCAGAGGTTCAGCTTCCTCCTGCCTCTTCCTCCTGCCTCTTCCTCCTGCCATTCCCTCCTGCCATTCCCTTCTGCCTTCTCCTGCTCCTTCCTGGATTCTGCTGTCCCTGGTGGCTGCTGCTGTTCTGTGTCAGGCTGTGCATTTGGGAGTGGGGGCTGGAACACCTTCCCTCAGTGTTTGCTTCCATCCCAGACCAGCTCCTGTGGCACTACCAGAACAGGAATGTTGAGCTGCTTTCCCTCAAGTCCAGTGGGTCTCTGACAGAAATAGGCTCAGCACCAAACAGCTCTGCTGGGCTTAGTGGTAACTGAGCAGCCCTGGCTGAACTGGGAGCTGCTGGGAGTGCTGCACTCCTTCAGAATCCAAAAAAACTGGACAGTCAGACCCCTGGAGTGCTTGTGGCCTTGCTACCAACGTGCTGCCTGGGAGCTGAGTGCTGATGAAGGCTCCACACAATCCCAGTCTCTGGGGGACAAATTTAGAAGCAAATGCAAATAGAACATTCTATATATTCCCTGTCATCTGTCATCCCAACCCCTTCCATGTGCCATCTGCTGTCTGAGGTTGCTGAGCCTGACAAAGTGAGGTGACAGGAGGTAAAGGTTCCCTGTCTGACTTGAAAGCTCTGTCATGACTCCCTGAGCTGTGGGAGCATCAGCAGCCCTGGGAGAACCAAAGCAGGGCCCTGCTCTGTGCAGTTCCAGCAGCAGAGAGAGCAGCCTCGTGCTTGTGTCCAGCCTGAGTCTCTGTTTCAGTGAGGAAGTTGCTGCTGGACAAAGCCTGACCTTACAGCTCTGTCCTGGAGCAGATCTGTTGGTGCCACCATTCACCATATCCAGGCTTTTTTATCGTGGGAGATGTGATTCTCAGAGCACATGAACGTGACTGTTTTTAAGGTGCTCTGCCAATGCAAGGAGGTACCACCAGGCTTTTCCTGGATGGTTCCAAGGTGCAGGAGATGCAGGAGCTGCTGCTTCTCAGCTGGATCACAGCAGGGCTGTCTAAGAAGCCTGGGAGCCTCCAGGGAGATGCAGCTCCCAGTGGCAGTTCCTGCCATTGTTCTTTGGCCCGTGTTTTTGAAAGATGTCCAGTGCTGCCTTACAGCAAAACACAATTCAGCTTTCTCCTGAAAAAAAAGTGGCTTGAATTGGATGTGCAGAACCTTGGCTGTGCTGCCAGCAGAGCTGGGTGGATTGCAGTGACCTGGGTCTCTGTGCCATCCCTGACCACCCTGCAGATCAAATCCTCCAACAAGTCATGCTGAAAGACATAAAGAGATAAGATGCAGTGCTGAGGAAGCAAAACTGCCCCAGCCCTGGTTTCAGTAAGTTGCTCAAATTTGTGAAGCTTTGCAGGGTTCAGTGCAGTTCATTACCTTCCTCCACTGCACATTTAAACCTGGGTTTTACTCTTGGATTACTCAGTGAGAGAACACACAACATTCACAATGTGCCCAGCCAGCACAGCTCCAGCAATTAGCAGCCAAATGAAAGGTACTAATTTCATGCAGCCATTAAGCCCTCCATGCTCGAGTGCTCCACTGGGCCAATTGTTGGAAGTGTTGGAATTGCTGGAACTGGCAGGGCATGGGGTGGGAGCTGGCAGCCTGCAGCACCCTGGGCTTTGGAGCACTCCAGCCCTCCTTAATTCAATACCCTCAGCACGAGAGCAAAACTCCAAAATGCCAGTGCCCAGCAAAGCTTCTGCTCCTCAGGCATGTCGGGGGGAATGGGCAGCCAGAAAGGTGGGGTAGAAAAGAGGAGATGCTGTGGTGTGTCAGGGCAGGGTCAGGATGGATCTCAGGGAAAGGTTCTTCCCCCAGAGGGGGAAGTGCCCCCTGGTTGGGCACTGCCCAGGCTCCCCAGGGCAGTGGGCACAGCCCCAATGCTGCCAGAGCTCCAGGAGGGTTTGGATGATCCTCTGGGACTCTTGGGGCTGGGCCTGTGCAGGGCTGAGGGTTGGACTGGATGGTCCTCGTGGGTCCCTCCCAGCTCAGCACATCGTGTGACTGTGAAATGCAGCTTTGCACCTTCCCAGAGTGCCCTGAGGAGCAGGACCTGCCTGTCTGGGTGACCCCAAAGGCCCCCTGGCTGCTTTTTGGATGTTGATATCTGGGATCTAAGTTTCTTTCAACAATTACACCACCTTTCCTGCCCTCTCTCCCCCTTAATCCTACTGGAGTGGATGGTGGATGGTGGAAGAACTGGTCAGGCTGCTGCTCTGTGGTGATGGCACAGACCAGCTTTGGTCCTGCCAACAAGGAGGAAGCTGGGCATTTAAGGATGATTTTCTCCTTTCTGTTTTCCAGGTCCTCGAGGCTGCTGCGAGCATTCTACATCCCCCTCCTGTCAGAGCAGTACACGTGGTACTCCAACTACACCATCCTGAAATCCAGGAGGTCCAGGCAAAGCAGGAAAAAGATGGGAGGCTAGAACACACCTGGGCAGCCAAACCAAAAGCATCTGCTGACACTCTTGGACAACTGCCCAGGCCATCTCCAGTTCCCTTTTTGAAAGACTGGGCTCCTGAGAACTCTCTGGCAAAGACCTGCCCCGGGGTGCTTTGGCTCTGCAGCTCCAGCCGGGGGGAAGGTGCATCCTCTGCTCTCAGTTCCCACTGTCAGGGCTCTGCTCTGCCCCCAGCAGCACGTTGGTAAGAAGCCATTTGAAAATGCAGCAGCCACCCGTGGATGTGTTATCCCTGCTGCTCCCTGGGTTGCACTGGAAAAGAGAAAAATGGAAACTAAAAAGGAATAATGACAGGATGAGGCTCTGCTCCAGGTTGCAATCTGGCACTGGGAAAACCTCAGCTTCTCTCTTTCTCTCTCCTGCCCATCCCTCCAGTGTCCCTCCTCTGCTCCAGCAGTGCTTTCATTCACCTAGGGAATTTTTTCAGGTAACAATGTTTAGGAATTTTCCTTTTTCTTAAAAACAAAAAGTGGTGGGGAAGAGGACAAACCTGCCTGACAGTGAACTGAGATGCACTGAGTCTCTAGGAATCGTGCACCACAGAGAAACAGCCTGAAGTTGCTCTGTCCAGGAGACACTTTCAAGGATAAACCTGTGCTTTTGGGAGAAAAACCCCCCCCCAAACTTAGGAACTGAGGCAATTATCTATTTAATGGGATCAGAGTGTTTGTGTTATCTGTGAAACCAAGTGTTTGTCTGCTATTTATAGTAATTTTTTCAAGATACCTGTAACATCCTTTCAATTCTAGACTACAGCATCTTAAAAATTCTGGGATTCTCCAGAGAGCAGAAGGATTAATTTATATATATATATATAATTTTTTTTGCAATTCTGTTTCCCAGAATAGACAGTGTGTGTTACAGGGGTCTCATGTGCTTCAGAGCAATGTTGTGCTTGTTATGTCTCCATTTTCCAACGTGCAGTGTCCCAGGCTGGATGAAGGGGGTTGTTTTCACTCGCATCCCTGGAATTTTTGGGGATGGGGTGGCACGAGAGGGAGTTCTACCCAAGCTCTGGGGTTAGACTGGGGGGTGTGTGCAGTGCCAGAGCAGGTGGATCAGGGATTTAGGTGCTGGGGAGCTGTTTGGATGCAAAGAGAAAAGCAGGAGCCTCTGAGAACACGGGTGTTGGTCCAGGAGCAAAACTCAGGGCTGGGCAGGTCTCGTGGGCAGGGGGGGAAGGACAGGCTGGGATCCAACACGGCACTGCTGGGACCAAGCAGGAGGAGCTGGATGAGGAGCAAGGCCTGGGTTCAGTCTGGAAGAGGCTCTGAATGCCCTGCATTGCCTTGAGGAGGTTTTTTAGGGGCATTGTGCTCTGCTAAAAGCAGTCTACAAACATGGGGTGGTCACAGCACGGAAATGCAGCTCCCTCCCATTGCACCCCCCTGGATGCAGGAGCAGTTTGGAGCTGAGGCTCCAGATTCCAGCTCTGAAGACTTAGGGAACTGTGTGTGGCATCTCAGCCTGGACCATCTTCAGGGAAATGTCCCCCTGTGCAAACATCACCTTCCATCAGTGTCAGATGTGGAGCTTTGAGGTTTTCAGCCCACAAACTGGTGTTTGGGATGAGCTGGTCTGGGGGGTCAGAGCCAGGGTGACATCAGTGTTGTGGTGTCTTTGCCCAGGTGTCCCCCCAGCTCTGCCCCTCAGAGCAGTTTCACACAGGGCTCTCCAGAGCCAGCAAATCAAAACCAAAACTCTCGCCCTGCTTGTTGCCTCTTCCCTTGCTAATCCCTGACCTTAAATCAAATAAAGAAACAAATCCCCGACCTTAAATCAAATAAAGAAACAAATGCAGTTGAAGGACTGGTTGCACCTCTCTCTGGTGCTGTTTGTGTGACTGTTCCATGTTGTCATAGCTCATAACCACATGTTTAATGTGAAAAGACAGTGCAGTAAATATCCATTTTAAATGACTCTGGCTGCTCCACCTTCCTTTCCAGCTGGATTCCTGATTTGGGAGTGGTGGTGGGGAACTGATAACCTGACAATAGTCAGGAGTTGATCAGTGCTTTCCAGAGGGATGCAGCAAATGTTTGGTTCCTGGGAGTAAGCAGGGACAATCCATCAATCCCAGCTGAGACCACTGGGAATGAGAAGGTGAAGTGGCTGCTGATGGTGTTTGCACCTGAAGGCCTGAGCCCCAGGGGAGGTTTGGGGCAGGAGATGCTCAGGCTGCCCTCATTTCCCCATCACTCACAAGTCAGGACCGTTGCACTCTGTGCAGAGCTGAGATGAAGCAAAAAGCCATCGATAACAAGAAGGTTTTTGGGAAATAAAAGAGACTTGTGGAGTGGGAGCATCCCATCCCGAGGAGCACACTGCAGGCACTGCCTGCCTGGCTCAGGTTTGCCTGGATCAAAGTCCCTGTTTTTTTGAATGCAGGTGATGGATGTGAAGAGGGTGATGCCAAAGGGTGGAGCTGCATCCGAAACAAAGCATTTTCCTGGGAATGGTCGATCTTCTCTGTGTCCCCCCCAGCCCAGGCTGGTGCCCAGTGCCATTGCTGTGGCACTTGCCCTGCCTGGATGAGCAGAGGGGGATTCTCTGGGGAGTTTGCTCTGCCCTGGGTGGAGATGGAGAGGCTGCCAGTGAAGAGCAGGGTGGGGAGCTGAGCCCTGCAATCCTTCTGCCTCAGAACACACTGTCCAGGTGCTGCCCAGCCCAGCCCAGCCCTGTTCTCTCCCTTGGACCAGCAGGAGGCTGTTTTGACCTTTCCTGTTTTCAACCCTCCCCTCTGCCTTGGCTGGGGAAGCTGCACTTTCAACACGTGTCTGAGTCAGCAGGAAACAAATCCAGGGCCACTGGATGTGGGGTTTGTGGTGGGTTCAGGAGCAGTTGCCCACAACACTGCCAGGTCTGGTTTGACACCACTGGTCGAGGCGTGGTGGTGACAATCTGCAGACTTGGGGTTTCGCCTTGGTTTTGGGGACAGGTGCCTTCCCACATCCCTGACATCCTTGGCTTCCTCCCTTCCCAGCTTCTGGGGAATGTGCTCTCGGGACAGGCAGGAGCTTTCCAGCAGCTTTATGCAATGCTGGCTGAATCACACAATAAACAAGCCCAAACCCTATTATTAGACTTTGGAAACTGCTGCCTTAGAGACAGGTTTGCTTATAAATATCCATTATTTTCTCCCTGGCTCCTCACTAGGGAAGCTGGTGAGGAAAAGGGATCTCTGCTCCTCCAGAGTCTGCCTACCCCTGCTGTCTTTGCTTCTTCCCACCTGAGCTCATCCTCCTCTCCCTTCCAGCCTCCCAAGCTCCAGCTGTGGGAATGGGACACTCTCTCCAACGTCAGGCAGCCTTCTCCCCATCCCAAACCCACCCAGCATGAATCCCCTGCCATTGCCCCCTGCTCTGTGCCTCTGGCAGCTGTTTGCAGCAGTTCTGGAGCTCTGGGGTGTTTTATCAACCCTTGCAGGGCTGTTTTGCTATTTTGTGAGCTCAGGAGTTGCCCCAGGGAATTGGGTTCAGCTTTTTGTCAGAACCCAGGGCTCCTCTTCTTCCCTACCCCTGTTGGGTAATGCTGTGCTGCACAAAAAAGCCCCAGAGCTGCTCAGACACCCCATGTCATTCTCTGTGTAAAACTGGGGCAGGGACTGAATAGCCAGGACACGCTGTAGGCTTGGAGGAGGGATAAATGAGGTGGTTTTTAATGATTCAAGGAATGTTCATCTCTCTTCTAATAGATATTGCTGTTAGGGGTATGGGGAGGGCTGGTTTCTCTTCCTTTCTCCAGGTGACAGACCAGAAACGTGGCCTGAGCCAGTTCCACTGGGTACCAAGCAGAAACCAGGAGCTCCCATGAAGAAGGGGAGTGATGCAGGGCTATGAATCTCTGCCTCAGGCCTTGCTGGTGAGTTCCAAGGAGTGGCAGAGGTGAAAGACTGTGCAGAAGTGGCATTAGGAAGAGGTTTTTTCAGCTGTTCAGCCACAGTGAGGGTGGCAGAAGACACAGAGACTGTGGAGGAGATGTGAGAGGACGGGAGGTGGAACCGTGTGGAAGCAGAGCTTGTGCTTGTGTGAAGAAATTATGTTGGCTGGGGCATCTGAGGGAGAGAGCTGGAGGACTTGCCCTGCAGAAAACATGTTCGTTTCCTCTCAGCTTCCATCGTTTCCTCTCAGCTTCCAAGCATTTTTGGGATCCTCCAGCTTCTCGTGCTTCCTGCCCAGCATCCCCTGCAGGCTGGTGGTCGGGGTGGCACCTCTGGTGGGTCAGGACAGCGGTTTTAAGCCCCTGTTCCTCCCTTCCAGCCCCAAGGCAGCGGGTCCCCGGTGGGAATTAGCCCAGGTTAACCCCACTCCGGCTGGGAAACGCTCCTCCAGCCGCTTCCTCAGGCTCCCGGGAGAGGGCATCGTGCTCCAGGAGAACTGGGAAGAGACGGGGTCCTTCGGGATGAGAGTCCTGGGGATGGAGGGAGGAACTGGGGCTTCTGCTACAGGTGAGACAGTGGCTTTCAAGACTAAAACTCCCACCCTCCTCTGTGCTCCCGTGGTGCTTCCCAGGAGCTGTTCCTCCTTTTTTTCAGTAGCTTCCCTCAAGTCCTTTTCCTGTGCTGGTCCTGTCTGTGGGGCTGTCTCAGGCTGCAATACAGATAAATTGTGTGTGTGGGCATCCCACCAGTCCCTCAGGTGTCCTGGCCCATCCCAGGAAAGCATCTCAATGGGTCAAGGTCAGTGAGAACTGTGCTCTCAACCAGGGCCTCCTGTCACAGCAACTCCCTTCCCATTGTTAAACCTCTCCTGCCTAATTGGGATTATTTCTGGATCTCGTTTTCCCCAGAGGAGAAATTATTGACAGATAATCCATGTCTGTACGGAAAACTAATGATTAATTGCTTCCTCTCCATTAGGGCTCCCTGGCCTCTGTCTTGCAGAGTTTGCTAACAAACACATTATCTCCCTGGCAGTCCAAAATAAATACTTGTCCTCATGTGGGAGCTGGGGTGGAATCATCCAGGGCTGTGCTTGCCTTTCCCAGCAATGACAGGCCTGGAGATGGGGATCATTGTGGAGGATGAGATGCAATCCTTGCTCACTCCTTTTGGCCACAGGTAGGTGAGAGGGAACAGTAATTTAGGGAAGAAATGGGTGGTCTGCTTTCTGCATTTCATGAAAATCTGGAGAACGAGGCAGAACTAACTGCAGGACCCTTTTTATTTTTCTTTTTTTACACCATAAAAACTCCCTGGAATTTTGGCCACGGCACGTGTTCCACGGTACCCAGACAGGGAGGTATTTTCTCCTGAACACAGGGGAAGAAAAGCTGAAGGGAGCTCGCCCAGAGTGCGAGGGTTAAGGGGGCTGCCTCTGGAATGGCAGCACATCCTGTGACTTTTCCTGCTGAGTTCCCAGATGCATTTCCCTGGACTCTGTGCCTGGCAGTGGAGTGATGGGAATGGTTGGTGTGTTTTTGTGCTGGGTCTCCATGCCCTAAAATAGCTTTGGCCAGTCCTCTCCATCAGCTGCCTGAGGTGCTGATGGTGCTTGGACAGCAAATTCTGCCGAGGGAAAACCAGTGCAGGCAAAAGCTGAGCTGTTCAACCTCTTGAGAGGACTCCTTGACAAAAGAGGGCAGAGCAGTGTCCAGCTTGTCCCCAAGAGGAGCTAGGTTCATTTCCTACTCTCCTGGAGCACTTGCTGTTCCTGGTGATCTGTTCTGACTCCGTGACCATGCTCTGGAGGACCCAACCCTGCTCGCCCAAGCGCCGTGGAAATTCCCTGGGTGGTTTTTGTCACAGGAATTCCTTGTGTGATTTTGGCTTTGCTCCCTGGAGGCTGCAGACATCCCAGGCTCTGGGACTCCTTTGCCCATGAACAGACAGAGCCATTGTGCAGGTCAATCACCCAGCACCACCCTCCCAAAATGTTTGCTGAGAGACTTCCCTGCAGTGTCCTGTGAGCCCAGTGAGCTGCTGCCTTGGGAGGGCTCCTCCTCCGTGCCCTCACCAAAGAGGAGGATGAGCTGGCTTTTTCCAGCTAACCAGTCAATATTTACTCTCCCAGGCAAGCTGTTAGAACGCTGTTGCTCTCTTGTTTTGGTGTTTGTTTCCCCTGCCTTGCTGGAATATTGCCCCAAAATCTCCCACACTGGCAGCTCCCGTTTGTGCCGCTCGTGGGCGTTCGGCAAAGCCAAGGTTTGTGGGAGCCTTCCAGAGGCTGCCAGGTCACGTTGGCATCTTCTGCTCGGAGCGGGGAGTGGGTTTCAGCCCATCTGCTTCGGGGAAGGCTGGAGTTTGGGAAGGGAAAGCCACGGGATCGTTTATTCAGCCCCGAGGTGAAGTCTTGCTCCCGCTGAAGTCCAGGGGGGAAGGTGACAAGGATGCTCTCCAGCAACAGCTTTTCTGGGAGTCCTGGAGTCCTGAGAGACAACCTTGGCCATGTTGGAAATGGATTTTTGGTGACACCACCCTAGCTGGAGCTCTGTCACTGCAAGTCCCTGCTCTAGCAGTCCTCTCTTTATTTTCAATTATTGTGACACTTAATTTCCTTATTACTGCAATTTCCTATAATCCCCAAGCATTTATTTTTTTTTTCCAGAGAGGAATTACATTTGCTGCCCTGCCCCTCAGCGCAGTCGCTGTTGCCTTTCTGGTTCACTAACAAGAAGCTTGAAGATCTTCTCTGGCAAATCATTTGATTTGTTAAAGTTATTTGGCTCCAGCAAGAAACTTTTCTCCTCCACTCGCAGGGGAAGGCAGCCTGGTCCTTAATTGCTTTCTGCAGCTCAGCCAAGTGAAATCCATCTTCATGCCCTCGCAGCTGAAGCCAAAAAAAATATCCCCAATGGTGCCTTGTGCTTTGTGACTCCTCACTGAGGGAGCCTGTTCCAAGAGTGTCTCTCCTGGGATTTATAACCACTGGGAGAGCTGCTTGATGAGGAAGATTTAAAGCTCTTGTGTGCAGAGAGAGCTC